CAGAAAAGCTGGGCAATTACTGCTGTGTTTTCATGTTTATTTTCATGCTTTTATGTTTATTTCAGTGCACAACCCTGTCTTTTTTGAGGTACTGAAACTTGTAATTGTGGAGGGGAAGAAAATATCCTCTTCCATATATGCTTATAGGTCAGGAACAAGAAATTGGAGCTGTCTTTTTACTTGCAGAAAATCATTTCTGGGTGGGTTGAGCAAGATGGAAATTATTTGGTTAGAGGTGGTGGTGGTGGTATTTTCTGCCTGTGTAACTAAGTAACCCATTTCTCCCGACTCTCCTATTTCTTAACAGGAACAAAAATGCCACTTTATGGGAGGGGATTCCAGATTTAAAGCACCCTTTGCAAAATAGAATAACTTGAAAAAGCTTACTGGCAATGTTTTGGAAAGGCCTAGTTTAATTATGGGACTGTTAATTGTGGTAGCATATGGTTAATTAAAATTGTTGGAGACCAAGGGGAGACTCTGTACACAGAATGATTTGACATGGTTGCCGGTACTTACTTGTTTATAATGTATTATTATTTATTAAAATAATTTTTTGAAGCTGCCTTTAAGGGCAGAAAGCCTTCAAATATGGTATAGACAGTTTTATTGTATTATGCCACCTTTTACTAATAAAACAGCAAATAACAAAAAAATGTAACCTAAATACTATAATTTGTTGCTAAAATTTAATATTTGATCCATAAGGAATTGATCGATCACATTTTGGCCAGTGCACAGAACAAATAATTTTGTATGAAGAATCAACCCATTATGGGTAACTAGCCACAGTTGATTGTTGTGTTATCCAGGTTCAGGCCACATCCCTCAAGGTGGCTTATTTTTGGACACTTAAGTCACCTTGCCAAGCCATGGCTTGTTCTAGGGGCTGTTTGACCCATGATGTGTTGATGTGCTTTCTGAACACAGAAGACTGGCTCCATCATGGGTTTCAGGGAGTGGCCATCCATGGTAGCACATCCACTGATTCCCAAGCAACACTTTGGAGCAACCACCACTGCTTTGCTGCCTTATTGATTTAGTTTTTTTATTGTGGCACCAACAATGTGTACAAATATCTCTGTTTTTTTTAAAGTCAGTCTTTCAGAAGTGCACAAATGCACACTTTTGGCTGTCAGATATGTGTATAATCTTGTAGACGTCAGCTGTCAAATGGAGCAAAATTACAGTAGGCAAGGCTAGCCTTCATATAGGCTTATGTGCACATATTTGCTGAGCTGTCACTTGAAAATCCTTAGGAAAGGGGATGGTGACATGTTCTCCCACTAGTAATCTTAAGGATTTCAAGAGTAGAACCTTCAGTTCCTTCCACACTTCCAACATTTCTCCGTGTCTCAAGAAAAGGGAACTATTAGACCACCCAACCCTCACTTCTTGCAGTTTCATAGAAACAGACAGTCAGGAGGGGCCTCCCAGGCCATCTAGTCTGATCCCTATTTCCAGCCAGCTCTGTGCATTTAATACCCATGTAATACTTTCCTTTCCAAGCAGTCACTGCTGCAGTTGCTGTGATTCTAACACCCACCCCTCCTGAACATTGGCTGGATGAGAAGTAGTGAATGGGGCCCTGCGGGACAACCATTTGCACCAACCTGTTCTGTGACCTCTAAGGGTTCCCCCCTTTGATGGGCTTTCCAGCCACAACATTTTCCATCCATTTACTTCCTAGCAGTGGAATTTACATATATTTCCTTGTCAAAGATAGACAAATTTAATAGATAGCAAAAAAAAAAAAAAAAATCCCTTACAGGTGGCAAAGCATGATACAAGCAGTTGATTTAATGTGAGGTTAGTACTGATAATATATTGTCAGGTTAAATAAGTAGTCAGAGCCAAACTTAGTTATCAACCAGCCTGGTCATTTCAGTAAGATAATGTCCAACTTCAAACGCAGTGACATTTCAGCAATGTGGAGTGCATTCGGAGTGTCATCAGTATCGCATACGGGAAGTTTATCAAATGCCTCTAAAACGAAGATAATTGATTTTTCTAGATGGTTATCCCCAACAGAAGGGTATTTTTCAAAAATGTAACTTGCATCTCATTCGGAGTTACACCAGTGTTATCACTACAGCTATTGCATAAAAATGACTTTCAGATTCAGTGCTGTAGCTGCTTTCCATGATGGACTAATGGGAAACGGCACAGGAATAATCACTGCAGCTGCTACACTTTTAAGAAAATATTATTTAAATGTGCTCTATAACAGAGGAAATAAAAATGTACCACATTGGCTGATAGGAATTACGACATCACGGTTCTGTCCTCCGACTACAGGACTGCCAAAAATCCTTGCAGCTATCATCCTATTGTGCTTTTACTCATTTTGTTTGATAGCTTTGCCGATCTGCTGTCATGCCTTTAAATCCTGCTGTTACTGAAACAATATATTTGAAGAAATGAAGCACTTGCAAGGGAACAGTAGGTAGCTGTTAAAGCAAGGTCGAAGGAGCATGTCAGCCCAAGGGTCAGGATGCCAGCGAAGGACAGGCCAGCACCTGGAGGGGGTGGGGCTCCTGCCAGCCTACGCTTGCAGCCTGCATTTTCACACAGACACACTTACCATTTACACATGTGCCCCCATTTAGAGGCACACTTGTACCTACTTCATAGCTCCAGCTCCTCAGCCGGTCCCTGCAGATCGGCCATGGGGAGGCATTTCTCTTGCCTTGCACGGAGAGTGACTCCCTTTTCCAGCACTGAGCAAGCCGAAGGAAGGCTATCCAGTGAGTAACAGATCAGACACTGACCCTTTCTGCCTCCAGCTCAGAGACAGGGACAAGGCCTTATTGCCAACCTGCTGCAGATCACAGATAAATCCTTTCCCCTCTCTCAGTGTTTGGGTAGATGAACGGGGACTGGTCTGGGAGAAAATGCTTGGCAAACAGGTTCCCTTTGTGCACAAGACAGGATCCAACATTGTAGCTCTGCCAGTAGGAAGACACAGTTGGCAGAACGGCAATTCCAGATCCTCTCCTCTCTTACTGCAACTCTCCACATGCCCTCCAAAACTGTTCTGGAAGGTTGGAGGTTCCTCAAAAGGGGCCTTCACTGTCGAGGGGGCTGCAGGGTGGAGAGGCGAGAATGCAGAATCTCAGTGCTGGATCCAAAAGGATCTTTGCGCAGTGTTGAGCTGTCTCCTTCAAATTAATCCTTAGAACTAGACTTCATTTTTTAAAACACAGGTATTCTTGGGGTATGCATTACATATTTAAGATATTAGGGTGGTCTCTTGTTCTTGGAATGATATAATGATGAAAGTAGGACTGTTTTGTTGCCAATTTTAGAAATAACCATCAGGAATATGTGAAGACTGTGCATATGTTTCCCCTTTATCTCAGTAGTGTTAACAATGCTAGAAGATAGGTCACCATTGCTATCTTCATGTGACAGTTTAGGATTATACTCTTTATAATTTCAGTTTCTTTTCCCATTGTGAAAAATGCGAACACTTGCTATCACTCCACAAATTGATCTTTTGTATAATGTTGGCAGCATGTAGAATTCCATAATGGAATGCCATGTAAATCTTTATCAGACAGTAGCCAATGTCCAAGGAAACCTTGGCCTATGCAGCAGCTGTTTCTCTCACACAAGCACCTTGTGCAAGAACTATGAACAGAGAAATCATTTTGCATACAGAGAATACATTGCACCTCAGCAAGCAGTTTCGTGTAGCTAATTGTTATTGTATGGGTGTTATTTTAAGCTCTTGCTTACGCATCCGTGAATGGAGAAACTAAAACTTACAGCCTCAGATATGTGGTGTTCTGAATTCTTATCTTTGTACAATGCCCCATCCTTGCTCAAAGGAGCTCAGAGTAGCAGCAAGCAGCCCCTCCATTTTATCACAACAGTTCTTTGAAGTAGGTTAAGCTAAGGGTTGGTGCCTGGCCCAGAGGCTGTCAGTGAGCTTCATAGCTGAATTAAGCCCAGTTCTCCTCAACCCAAATCCAATTCTCTGCACCACACTGACTTGCAGTGCAGTGCATGCACAGATATATCATGATATCATAGTTTGTGACCAAGCAAGTTTAACATACTACTATTGACATGTAAAACCCTAAGAAACTGAGGATCCCATTGCCTGAAAGCTTGCATTGCCCTGGATAGATCCTTTAGACCAGCCTTCCTAACCTTGTGTGCTCCAGGGGTGTAGAATTACAATGCCTAGAATCATCCAGACAAAATAGTTGACTAGTGGATTCTAGGAGCTGTAGCTCAACACCTCTGAAAAGCACCAGGCTGGAGAAGGCTGCATTACATTGCTACAATCTGCAGGGGAGGCCTTGCTGTCTGTGTCACATCCTGGCAACTACATAGCATCAGGCCTTCTCTGTGGTGGCACCCTCTTTCTGGAATTACCTTCACTTTGTGATATGTCAGATACCACTGACCATGTTCTTTCAATGTTGATGAAAATTGACCATGTACTACTTGACCATGACTTTTCTTGACCATAAACTTGTCTAAGAGTACAATCAAAAGAGCTGCCTGTCACCTCCACATGCAGAGGATTATGAGCATACAGGGCAGAAGGAATAAAGATGAGAAGGCCACCTCCATGTGCCTTTTGCCCTGGCTAGTCTCATGCTTTGGGGTGGGAAGGAAGGAGGCTGAGACACTGCCAGGATACATTATATACTGGCAATGCCTGTCTCCTCCCTTCCCTGCCCCCTACAACTTTTCTCAAGATTGGGCTTGTGACCTTGGGGGTGCAGTTGGCAGGGTTCATTCCATGCAAGCTGTGGGACGAGGGAAAGTGCTCTCTGGGTAGGAGACCAAAGAGTATTTCTGACCTTGTAGCTGAGTCTCTGAAAAATCTTATGGCTGTCTAGATGCTGTAAGATTGCACTGTAAATGTTGAGCTTCACTAATGATGTACTTTTCTATAATTTGTTTAAACTGCATTCAGAATTTAAAATATGTAGCACTACAAACATATTTAAAAATCAATCATATATCTTATATTATTTCAGGAACTATACTTCAGGAACCTTTCCAAGCAGAAACAAAAGCACGTAATGGAGAAAAATGGGAACAAACAGAAGCTCCGGGTTTGTGTTGCTACCTGTAATCGGGCTGATTATTCCAAGTTGGCCCCAATCATGTTTGGCATTAAAGCAGAGCCAGAGTTCTTTGAGCTGGATGTCGTGGTTCTGGGCTCCCACCTGATTGACGACTATGGGTAAGATCTATAATGGTATTTTTTTTTGTTCTACTTTACTGGAAGAAGTAGGGCATTCTCATTCCCTTTATTTCAAATTCATTGTTACAGACTAAATACCAGTCCTTGAAGCTGTTTATACAATGGCTTAATGCAGATTAATGAAAGCTGTCTAGAAAAAGGTCAATTTAATTCCTGTATGGAGCTGTATTTTATTCTTTCTTTAATGAGGTGCAGTTGGCTTACACAGGGCTCCCATAGGCATCCCATTCAGGCATCAAGTCTGCATGATCATTCTCCACATGTTTAGCTTCAGGAGCAACATAGCATGAACCATCATTCACTGAACCATGGTTCACTATAGATCCTATCAGAGGAATTTTTAAAAAATAGATAATAATTACCTTCACTCTTTCAGGGCTGTATGTTTTGAGGGATATCTTTATATCCATATTATAACTTTGGATGATTAAAAATAACCTTGGCTTAGTTACTATAGTGCAGCCTTCCCCAACTGTGTATCTTCCAGATTTTTGGCTGCAACTCCCAGCATTTTGTCACATTGGCTGTGCTGACTGGAGCTGATGGGAGTTAAAGCTCAAAACATCTGGTAGATGACAGGTGGGAGAAGATTGCTATAGGATGCTCTGATAGTCATTAACATCAGTAAGTGAGTACATTTCTTTTAAAATACATTAAAAGTTGACACTTTTGTAATAATTCCAACACTGCCTTAAGCCACAGTATAAAGGCATTTCAATTATGCAGGTGTTATATCAGTAATTCACTGAGAGTACAGTGCTGCCCATTGCATACCGGCTGCTTGTAAGCGTCTGAACTCAGAGTCTTAGGAGCATCCAGTGCAGAGCAGGAAGAACGGAAGGACAATCTGCATTTTTCCTGGATGGCCATTTTTTATCATCTAGTTGGGGAGCTTGTGGGGGGGAGGCTGGAGCCCAGACAGGATCCATTGTATCCTAGTGGGTCCACGCTTTTCCCTCCCCTTTCCACCCTTCCCATTTCCTACCCCCGGAACACTCCCTTTACCCCTTTCAGAGATCATTACTGTGGCCTTCCCTGTTCTTTCAACATTGGGACATCAAATCTGGATCCAAATTATCCTGTGGCCCACTAGATGAAGTTTAGGAGCCAAAGGGTTGCCCTCTTACCCACTTGATGGGGCTTCACCCAATGATATGCAAGCAGACATCCACATGTGCACTTCCCCTTCCCTCCCCTCCCACCCCACCACAGCCCTTTGCACATACCCCAGATTTGTTCCAGGGGGTTCCCCAGGCACGCAGAGTGCTGAAGGAGCAGAGGGAGCAGTCTGAGCTATCAGTAATGTACGATCTGCTGGTGGAGAGATACCACTGGATACAACTGACCATTTTTAGAAGTAAGTACATTGTAGGTAGTCCGGGTAAATCCCTTGAAGCAGTAAATCTGTATGAACTGTGTGTGTCACAGCCTATTTGGTACCATTTTTGCAAACCGTGCCAGAAATGTAGTAGAGATGTTAGTTTTGTATGTGAGGAAAATAATACTAAGTTTCTTCTGTGTCAAGTAGAACTGTAGTGCTTTTGTTTTGTAATCTGATATTGATGTGGCAACCAATTATTTAAACTCATTTATTAGGAATCGCATGTTAAATCTTTGTATTGTTTATGCACAGAATGGCTTTGTAGAAGTGGTATTTCTCTTACATTTCAGGCAAAAACTGCTTCCCAATTTTCTCCCCCTAAAATTGAATACACAGTTTTGCTGGTCAGTGCTGTTCATTAACACAAACAAAACCTGACTTACCAGCTCACGTGCAAGAAATGTAAGGAAAGGGGAACAGAGGAGTAAGGTTGAGGGGGAATCATTTAACACTTTGGGGACAAAGTGAACAACAGATGTTGTTGTTGTTAGTCGCGAAGTCGTGTCCGACCCATCGTGACCCCATGGACAACATTCCTCCAGGCCTTCCTGTCCTCCACCATCCCCCGGAGTCCACTTAAGCTCACACCGACTGCTTCAGTGACTCCATCCAGCCACCTCATCCTCTGCCGTCCCCTTCTTCTTTTGCCATCTCTTGTTCCCAGCGTTAGGCTCTTCTCCAGGGAACAACAAATAGGTCTTCATTTATTTTGTTTGTTTTAAAACATTTGTACGCTCCCAGAGTATTTGAAAAATGACACGGTGGAACATTATAAATAGCAACAATAATACCAGAGAAACTGCAAAAGGTCAGCAGATGCAAACTAGTTGACATTTTGGAAGGCTGAGGAAAGAAAAATTACTTACTTGGTACTGAGAAGACATTAAATTGGCACTAGGCTAGTCTCTATGGAAAGCAGGTGGGGGTAACAGGAAAGGCTTCATTTCCAATCAGGACCTGCCTGCCTTTAGAAGGCACTGGAGGAAGACATCAGGTGATGGATGTCATACTCAGGGAGACACATCCTTGAGTTACCTGGATTGCAACTTGTTAGTACATACTAGCACTTTGAATTGTGTCTGGACTGGGCCAACCACCATTACATCTTCCCTTGCTAGGATTCCACTTCTGCAGCAACTCCTCAGACCCTTATTGGTGAAGGGCCAGGGTACCTTTCTTCGTACCTATGCGGTCTCGGGGGAACTGTAGGTACTGGATCTAGTTCTGCTAAAATCAGTGGATTATTTTAAATTACACACTTTTGTTTGGGATGATAAAGATTTGCAGGTCCAAGATGTGATGTCCATGTAATCATATCTGGTATTAGGATGTATGATACCAGAATCTTTGAAAACATTACATGGGAAACTTTTCCCGCTGAGGGAACCTTGCAGGTTTTGCAGACCTGTCTTGTGATCAGACCAGACTTGCAAAATTTGAAAATGCTCGCCCTGATCGTTGTCGTATTGACAGTGGGACCTGGCTTCACTGTCACCTCTTAATGGCAACAATCCTGCCAATTTTCCGGCACACACACCATGTTTCCACTGTAGCTTTCGTCAGGCATAAGTAAAAGTAGAGATTTTTCCTTCTACTGTTAACTCTTCCAGTCCTTCAGTTATTGAAATGAAGCATAACAGTTGAACTTTTGCCTCAGTTTCTGCACTATTTGCAGCCTCCTTGGCCATATAGCCCCTGGTGAGGGATCATCAAACTCATAAGCAAACATTTGGAAGATCATGACCTGGACAGTTTACTGAAAGGACAAAGGGATGAATACTTTCCCATCATTATAGTCCCACAGTTTTGCATTGCATTTGTTTGTAGTGCTCACCCACCTATAGCACAGTAATAGGTGTCCTCAAACAATGCCACAGTTACGGTCCTTAAAGCATGGCTTTTATTTTCTTTTATGGCAAAGTACTGGGTTTTTTCCTTAAAAAAAAAAAACCTTAAAATGAGAGATTTCTTCCCTCCATCTTGTACCATTTACTATGGCAGTATTGTAATTAATGTTGATATTCCCAGTCAAAATAGTAATTCCATTCTTGGTGGATGTCAAGCTTTTTATTTAACTTACTAGCTATTACCAAACAATTATGGATGCTGCCTGTGAAGGAAGTTTTTTGTTTCAGCAGCAGCATCTTTTCAATAGCAGGTTAATGACATTAGGTGGCTTGCATTGGTGTGGCTGTTCTGTACATATTAAAAGGAATCTGCAAACTGAGAGAACAGTATTAATATACAATCTCAACATACAACTGCTGCACATGGTGGTGGTACATGGATCCCAGTCTCATGTGAAGTACCTATACCCATATGTAGCAATACATAGGATATAAATATTGATGAAAATGTTTGGGGAAATTACTAATTCAAAACTTCTAACCTGGGATAGGCAACCTTTTCCAGGTTTGCATATGAAAAAGCATCTGCAGGCAAATCAAGAAATTATGGCAGCAGCTGGGGTTGGGGAGAAGGAAGGAAATGGCCGTGGCTGCAGGGGTGAATCACAAATGGCACATTTGTAGGTCTTCGTGGGCACTTGTGGGCTGTATTGCCAGCCCCAGATTGAAGCCACAGGAACACCTGGACATTTTGATAGGGACAGATCCTGTTGGTTTGGGGGAAACTGTAAGATTTCCTGTTGTTAGTCTTACTCTCAGGAAAACAGGATAGGCTTAGCTAACTTAAGTTGTATTTTAGTGGATCTCCACTATATAGCATTACATTTGATGCAATCCATTGATACGGCAGTATGTGACATTGCAGTCTAAATATTTCTTTCCTCTCCCTCTTTCCAGTAACACTTACCGTATGATTGAACAGGATGACTTTGACATCCACACCAGGTTGCACACAATAGTGAGAGGAGAAGATGAGGCGGCCATGGTGGAGTCTGTAGGCCTGGCCTTGGTCAAATTACCAGATGTCCTCAATCGCCTGAAGCCTGATATAATGATAGTCCACGGGGACAGGTTTGATGCTCTGGCAGTAGCTACCTCTGCAGCCTTAATGAACATTCGGATTCTTCACATTGAAGGCGGAGAAGTCAGTGGGACCATAGATGATTCCATCAGGCATGCCATCACCAAACTGGCTCACTACCATGTCTGTTGCACCAGGAGTGCGGAGCAGCATTTGATTTCTATGTGTGAAGACCATGACCGCATCCTCCTGGCAGGGTGCCCTTCGTATGATAAGTTGCTGTTGGCCAAAAATAAGGACTACATGAGCGTTATCCGCATGTGGTTAGGTAGGTATAGTGCACCGAACTTGTGATCCACAAAGCAAAATGTAGCCCACCAGGTCTATATGTTGACTTGCCAAATGCTTAATAACCCTCACAATTTTCAGTCTCATGCACAGAACAACAAAAAAAAAAGGTTAATTTAAGTTGCGCTGGGGCTGGCTATCATAGATTGGGAGCCCTGCTTTGCTTCAGAACTGCTTTGAGTTACATATTGGAAATCGGTGGCATTCTGTGATGCAGATTAGAGTCATATGTTTATAAGATATGACCCATGTTCATATCTTATAAATAGATAATAGGACATGAATATTAGATGCATACATTGGTTGCTTGGAACATTGATGTAATTTAGCATCAAGTACCATGCATGCAAATCTGTTTCCTCTACAATAAAAACATAGCAGAACATATTTCTGAGGGCTTTGCTTTGGAGTAGCTATCTAAATGAGCCACATGTTTTTTGTGGTATTTAAGAAGAGATTTTCATAAGAGAGCAATCCTGTGGGCCCTGAAGGGTGCTTGGGGCACCACATAATGCTGTGGAGACCTCCTATGCCAACAGAGTGGCCAGGACAGAGGAGATGACTTGATGGAGGACCTTCCCTCTCTGCTCACCCCTCCAGAAAGCTGTTCTTAATGGGAAAAGTTGGAGAGGAGAAATAAACCAGGGTCCTGAGGAAAGAGAAGAGGCAAGGTTGTGCAGTCTCCTATGGGTGCAGTTTCTCATCTACCTACCTGCTGAAAGATGCTTTTTATATTGTGAAGAGGGAAACTGAGGCAAATTTTCCTGTGTTCTCTTCTCACCCTGCCTGGTTCTGAATTTGGAGCCTTTAGTTTATTAGGAAATCCCATAGATTTGGTCCCTGAGTTTCAAATCTGCTCTTGAATTTGCAGAACAAATGGACTAGTTGCAGAGTCTAGGAATGCCTGGCTAATTTGTTTCCAGAAGTGGGGGCAGATATATTAAGGCAAGCCCTTTTCTTTCTTTTTTCTGCATTTGACTGGCCTGTCTGTTACACAGATAGGCTGATCAAATGTCTGTCTTTAAAAATCAATGAAGATGGCCAAGATTTGTCAAGAGCATGATCAAATACATGAGTGTAATAAAAATAATAGTCCCATTAAAGACACTATTCAATCTTGACCTGATCTTCCTTAGGTTGATAATGCAAAAAATAGTCCAAGTGACCACTGACTTTAGAACAAAAACTCTCTTACTTCACAGTGGAATGAAACATTCCCAAATTATTGCCTTAGTAATTTCCCTAAATTAAACATTGTTTATGTAGTTGCTTTTCTTCATTGTCCACTCCAACAACTGGTTTGTTTTTAAGCTGATCACTGTCACTGTGCTTTCACAGGTGAAGATGTGAAACCCAAGGACTATATAATTGCTTTACAGCACCCAGTGACCACAGACATTAAACATTCCATAAAGATGATTGAACTGACTATGGATGCCCTCATCTCTTTTAACAAGAGGACGTTGGTTTTATTCCCCAATATTGATGCAGGTGAGTCCAATGAGATGCAAGCCATTTTTAAACTCATGATGAGCACACTGCAGCTCTTATCCTGCCACATCTTTGTGTTATGCAAAATGGAGCCATGGAACTCCCTCAAATAAACAACTAGTGTTCAAAATTCTGATTCCTTCTTTTAAAAAGCACATTCTATCCAGAGTTAAGTGCTTTTAAGTCCCATTTGTTTCAGTGGGAGAAGGTTAAGCATAGGCTTAACTCTTAAATCCAAATCAGAGATTAAAAACACATAACTTTGGCTTGATTTTGTGAGGTGATACTAACATCTAAAATATTAATTAGATAGAAGCTCAGTAATTATATTGCAAAACTTGGTTCTCTGTAATAGATTCTTGGGTAAGCTGGGTTATTTTGCTTTAAGTATGGAGATTTTCTGATACTTAACATCGTTGACACTATATAATGCAAGGAATTCAGTGGAGTCTTTCTTCATTTCAGATTAGTACCATTCAGTAGTAAGAAAGGATCATCTATATGCAGCTGTGCCGGGGCTTTGGAAGCAGCAGTTCCTCCATTTATGTAGTTACATAGTGCTGCTCATAATAGCTATTTTATGTTCCCCAGTTTCAGTTTCTTAATATTAAGTGATCTGTCATTGCTTTTGCCACAGGGAGCAAAGAAATGGTTCGGGTAATAAGGAAAAAAGGTGTTGAGCACCACCCAAATTTCCGAGCGGTAAAGCATGTTCCTTTTGACCAGTTCATTCAGTTGCTGGCTCATGCAGGCTGCGTGATCGGGAACAGCAGCTGTGGAGTGCGAGAAGTCGGGGCATTTGGTACTCCTGTCATCAATCTTGGAACTCGACAGATAGGAAGAGAAACAGGTATTGTATTATTTCTTTAAGGGTGTGGTATCCTAGCTACTGATGATGCCATTGTGGCATATGCTCTTTAGGATTGGGACACCCTTGATCAAGAATGTGAAGTATAACTCTCATGTGTGCTATTTTGCTGCCTATGTAACTTCATTTTCTTAAGTGTATGTAGCTTTGTTAATATCTAAAAAGGATAAGCAGCAACTGTGGGGGGATTAAAGAGGGGCTTATCTTCTTTAAAGAAGCATCCTTTGCAGTTTAAACTCATCAGAATAACTGCCTTTTTGGCAGCCCAGGGATAAGATTACTAAGAAGCACTATTTCTGTCTATAGCCTGTTTAAGTAAACTAACAGGGGACTGATGAATAAAAGTTAATGAAACAGCAATGTTATGAATGCAGGAAGTATTAATCAGCATTCTCAGGCAGGGCAGAAACCTTGAGAAGGAAGATGGAAGAGTGGTTTTTCGTCCTCTTCCCAGAGAAGATATTCCTCAACAGGATAAACGTGGCTTCCCCAGGTTTTGGTGTATTCTCTGGGGCCCACCGAGCTCTCAAGTTCTCCCGCCCATTGACTGTTAAGGAAGATGCAAGGATAAGTTTTCCCCACACCACTGCTGATGAAGTTGATGGTCCATAGGAAACTATGCTTCATTCAGGGGGTTGAGAGGCCGCCAACAGAGCCTGAGCACAAGTGTGTTCTGCATTTTGCTTTGTTATTAGCCTGTTCCCTTTCCTGTGTGCTCAAAATTACCATTTTTGTATTAGCCGACACTTTCTTTAATATGTTTTATTATTCTGGAAGGGCCGCATAGCCTGAGCAGCTTGCCCTAACCCTTTGCCCTCCGGATGTTACGGACTCCCACTCTCAGCATTCCTGACCTTTGACCACAGCGTCTGGAGCTAATTGTAGGCCTAAATGTCTGGGGGGCTACAAGTTGCCCACCCTACCCTAAATAATTATATTAGCATATCTACCTGCAGCACAAATAGAACTTCGCCCCAACTCAGCTCTAATGTCAGCATTTGCAGTTTTGTGATGGTCCTTCCCCTACAAAGCATTTATGTGCTTGGAATGTATCAGCAGCATTCAAAACCTCATATTTTTCATTTCAAATTCAAACTCTTCCTGCAATATTATTTTATGAGGTTTTTTTTGTGTGTTTGTTTTTAATAAAGGTGAGAACGTCCTTCATGTTCGTGATGCTGACACTCAAGACAAAATACTGCAGGCTCTGCATCTCCAGTTTGGGAAACAATATCCATGGTGAGTCTAACTTAGGTGCCAAGGCACCAGGAAAAATGCTTGGTATGCTGTAATGTTTCCCCCCCCCAGCAACAGCCCAACATCAAACTAGCATTAAACTAAAAGAGTGAGGGGAATGCTGGGAATTCTACAGGGAAGATCTCATAATTAGCCACACCACTGTGGTCATTCTCACTTTATATTTGTATGCTGCTTTTTTCATATGCATTACCCTAAAAAAGGACTGAGCACAACAACCCAATGTCTAAATATGTCAGCAATATATCAGTCTCTGAGAGTCTGGTCCAGCCAAGTTACTTTACTTTAGAGTCGCAAGTACTTAGGAAGGAATGAAACCACCTGATCAAAGACCATATACTTTTATATAGTTTATTGGATGAGCAATGAAATACGCACAGAGAATATAAACAAGCAAAAGAAAACTTAAATCCTGTTGTCTGTGGCTGTATCAGTTCCCTGAATAGTCCAGGGGATGCTTTGTGGCCTTCAGAGTTCCTCGGGTGAGCAGTGCATCCATTTGTCAGCCCAGGTTAAGAATAAAAGACAGCACCTCCTGCCATGGATTTTACAAAGTTCCTCTCTCCCCGTATTAGAGCTCTGACCTCCAATTCCTAGGATATGAGGGGGAATGAAGCTGCTACAGTAAAGAAAGCGGTTTTGTTCCCACAGCGAAAGCAGCCCTTGCTCCAGAATGATGGGTGAAGACAACTTCCTGAAGCCCTGGGTCTGGCTTCAAGAAGCTATCCTGGCTCTTGGACACTGGGGAAATTCACTACACCATTGGTTGAACCTTAATAACCTCTTTGCCATTTTTCCAGTAGAACCCTCCCCCCAACCAATGCACACTGTCCATAATATCACCCTATCAGCAAGAATCAACACGGCAGGCTTTTAACCATAAATGGAAGCACAATTAAATAAATGTCAAGATAGTAAAATAAAACAGGAAAAAGGCAAATCACCCCCTTGATCCAGACCACCCAAGTTAGCTAGCAGAACTCTTCCTTCTGTTGATGGTCAGATTAACTCCCATGGACTCTATGTATGTGTTTGAGGTGAGTGTGTGTGTGTAGGGAGGGAAGGGAGTCTTGGTGGGCAGACCAAGCCCCAGCCATGCATCTGATCCCAGGTGCGGCCCTTGAGGCTAAAAGATTGCACACTCTTGCCTTAAAGCTAGCTTTTCTGTTGAAATCGGTGAGAGTTAAAGGGCTTAAATTTGATTGAATTGTCCCTAAACATTATGAAGTTGGAGCACAAATCCCTGGTTACCACAAGCACCTCACAAATATATGATATACTTCCTGATGCAATAGTGATTTTGTTTTTTCCCTCATTTTTCGTAAAATGCATTGGCCATAATTGTAACATGCTGTATGTTGCTGTGGTTTTTTCACATGACACAATTGCTGCCACCTGCAGTTCAAAAATCTATGGAGATGGGAATGCAGTTCCAAGAATTGTGAAATTCCTTAAGTCGCTGGACCTTCAGGAGCCCATTCAGAAGAAATTCTGTTTCCCTCCTGTAAAGGAAAGCATTTCCCAAGATATTGATCATATCCTAGAAACCCAGAGTGCACTGGCAGTGGATCTGGGTGGAACAAACCTTCGGGTAGCAATTGTCACCATGGAGGTAAATACAAACTTTTAAGCTTATATTTAAAACCAGAGTTTTACAAACTTCATGAAGAGGGTGGGTATCTCTTTGCTGGGGTGGGATGTTCACAGTGCCAGTTTTAAATCATCTAATGAGCCACATTGTTCTTTAAAAAAGATCTGCATGGCATACCTGTACGCTTTCACTCAGGCACATAATATCTACCATGAGGCACTAAATTGGAGGTTCCAAAACAACACTTCTGGATCCTTGGAGGCATTGCATGGAGTAGAGTTCCCATAAAGACCAAAGAGAGAGCACAGTCTTAATATAATGTACCATCCACTCCAGTAAATATCTAGGAATCCACAATCACAAGTTCTCTGTATAGAAACACATACTAATGTATAGATATGGTGAATGTCCCAACACTTGAATACACTACAAGTATTCAAACAATCTACAGGAGACAAATTTTTAAAAATCCTGGTGAACAAGTTCTTGGTGCTGGAGAAACACTGTTACAAAACAGAAGGAACAGAGAGGTCTTGTTTCAAAAGACATGATGAGGGCTCCATAAAAGAACACACATCTCTAGCTGTAGTAGTAAGAATAAGTTACCAGGATTTTCCGCAGGATATAGACTCCCCTGGTAGGCACAGGATATTTTTGGTCTCTAGTGCCAGCTGGCACTGCTTTAGGATTGCAACCAGTAGTCACTTTTTAAAACTCCTGATTAAACTTTACCATTAGGATTTTTTTTGCTGCAGGTGACAAGCACCATCATAGAAGATGCATTCCCCCACTCCAGTCTCTCGCAGAGGAGCGATGCTTTTCTTAGGATGCTGCCTGTTGCAATATACATGCATCCCCTGAAAACAGAGCAGATATGCTCCCACTCCCTAAACTGTAATCATTTGAGTCATTCCATTTGTATCAATTAAAGCTTATTTAAAGAAAGCTTAGACCACCCACTAGGTGACCACCTTGCACTGCTTGTTTCCTGTGGAGAAGTGTATCAGGCCCACAGTTCAGCATGGAATGAGCTTGCGTATAAGGGTTGTGGGGAAATGGTTGCTGCAACGTGCAGCTGAGGCCAAGAGAGCTTTCGCCAGAGGAGACGCATGCTCACAGACACATGCATACCATGCATATTCATCTCTGTTTTCTTAGCATTTGGCCTTAACTATCACATCCTTGACAGGCTGTGGAGAAGCTGATCTTACCGTGGGAAAGGGGAATTAGAAACATGCAAGAAATTTGATGGGTTTCTCCTCTTGCTTAGGGTGAGATAGTGAAGAAATACACACAGCTCAACCCCAAAACCTATGAGGACAGAATACAACTGATCCTTAAGATGTGTGTAGAGGCTGCCTCAGAAGCAATAAATCTGAATTGCAGAATTCTGGGTGTGGGTAAGTTTAACAAAGATTATTTCTTTCTCTGCATAAGGGGGAGGATTGAATAATATTGTGCCCTTTTTAGTACTATTCAGTTTAGGTATAATATAATGGTGGAATAGCTTAAAGTGTCAGTATATAGAAAATAATGAAGAACAGCCATGTTTATGCCATCCCTGTTCAACTATGTTCATATGAATGCACAATTCTTTAATTCCACGCCTTATCCTTTTCCTAACAAATTGTAGTTCTGCAAATGTCATATGGTTTTGCATCAGATTTTGCTGCAGACTAAAAAGTAAAAATGGTGATGATTATTGTACCATTATGAAATGGAGACACTGCCCTTATCAGCTTTTAAGTCCCTCCCTCCCTCTTATTCTTGTGCTGAAGTAAGGAACAGCAGCAAGGAACAAGGACAGGTCAAAATGTGAATCCAGGCCACAGTGCAGATGCTGCATCCTAAGGAATCTCCTTATAATATGCAGATTCGGAATCAGTTACCAAATGGCAACCATTCTTGCCCATTTGAGAGAATTACTGAGGAGTGCTTTTTAAACTGAAAAACTGAAAAGACACAACTGATGAGGGAGGCAGATGGTTTTGTTTCTTACAACAAGTTGTCCATTGGCACGGCTTTCTTTTAGATGATTCTGTTTTGGCTAGAGTTTGTGTTAATGATGTTTTAACCAGGTTTGTGTTCATGGTGTTTCTCTTTCTTCCCTTGCTTTTGGGGCTCAGGCATTTCTACAGGTGGACGGGTAAATCCAAGGGAAGGCGTAGTTCTTCATTCCACGAAACTGATTCAGGAGTGGAGCGCTGTTGATCTGCGGACTCCAATATCAGACGCTCTGCATCTGCCCGTGTGGGTGGACAATGATGGCAACTGTGCAGCTCTGGCAGAGAGAAAATTTGGGCAAGGAAAAGGAGTGGAGAACTTTATAACCCTCATCACTGGAACAGGTATCTGTACATTCTGGCCAAAATCTGGCACAGAGCTAGACCATCAGAATCATTCATCTTGACCATACTTTGGTCATAACGTAAGAAGGGCTGCCCTACATTAGGCCAAAGGTCCGGGATTTTGTGCCGGGGCTGCAGTGGCCACATGCACACACTTGGCTTATGTTCCCCCTCAGTTGACAGCCGTCACTGCCTCTGACCCAGAGGTAGTAGACAGGCCCTTGTGACTAGTAGCCATTGACAGCCTTATCCTCCATGAATTGGTCAGGTCTCCTTTCCAGGCCACCCACACTGGTGGCCATCAGTGCCTCCTGTGGCACCGGATTCTCTCATTCACCGTGGGCCTGTGTGAGGGACTGCGTTCAGTCATAGTTTTGTGCTGGTCCCAGCCTTGGACGGAAACTTTTCTTAATGATCTGTGTGCCCCTGGCTGTAGAGTGGACCTACTGGTTTGGCCACTCGAAGCTGGGGGAGCATCCCAGACAGCTGCGCATCAGGAATACTGTGGTCTTTCTTGGGAGCCCCCTGCCTTTTGAGTCCCCTGGCTGTGCCACTGCCACCAGCCTCCCTCTCCATCTTGATGGCTTTCAGAGCATGGCCCTAGGAGCGCCGGGAGCCTTCGTGCTACGACTTGCCAAATACAGTGCCCACTGCTGGCAGGGCAGGTGGTAACAGTGGGCAGGGGTTGCAGGAAGAACTGTGCAGGGTGCTTTCTGGGAAAGGAGGCATTTCAGGAGGTCAGTTAATTAATACTACATTTTAATGGAAAATACGACAAGTACAATGGAAAAAATAAATAAAAATACTGCAGCAAAATGCTTCAATTAAAGCCCATGGCTTTACTCAGCACTTTAAGGCAGGCACCAGTTAATGAGATGGCACAAAGGGGAGTCCCACTGCTGAACTGGCCCTGCCTCTGAGAGCCCACGGCCTCCCGTCAGAATGGGGGGGGGGGCATCTAAAGCTGGACCTCCAGCGAAGATCTTAATTGAGCAAATACATATGGGAGTCACTGGTCCCTCTGAAATCCTGGCCCCAGATGGTGCAGGCGGTGCACATGTGCACGGTTCCCACACACATACACTTGGTGGTCATGCACACACGGAGCCTTGGGCAACTAAAAGCAATGCGTGTACCACAAAAGATCACCGATCAAATCTCATTCAGCTCCAGGGAGCTTAGATTAGCAGGAGTTTCTTCCTGGGCCTACACACCGCGGCTGACTTGCATTTGTCATGGCATGCCGTGTGGAGCAACCCTTGGCCTGCTGTTAATTCAGTCTTATCCATCCGTTATGGAAACGTATGAAAACCTGCGCCTCTGAAAAAAGTTGTGCATTTCAAAGAGCACTTTTTAAATCACACAAATCCAGACACTGAATGGTTGAAATGTATGCCTTTGTGTGTATTGATAAATAAGGTGGGGCTTTGTTGTTTTTGGTACTTAATGGTAGATAATTCAAGGTTTTACTACTTTCCTGTAGTATAGAAGTAGTTTTAAACTTCTGTATAGTATTTTATGCTGTATCATGCTTCTTTATGCTGATCTGAATTGTGGTAAACTACCTAAAGAGCTTCAACTACTGAGTAGTATAGAACTGTGATAAATGTGTAAATATAATTAAGTTTCTCTCATCAGTATACAGCTCAGTAATCAAAAAGACAAAAAATGGGTCGCTATAATGTCATGTTCAGGTCTTGTCATTAAATTTCAGGTATTGGTGGTGGAATCATTCACCAGAAGGAGTTGATCCATGGAAGCTCGTTTTGTGCTGCAGAGCTCGGGCACATTGTGGTGGCTCTGGATGGACCTGAGTGCCTATGTGGGAGCCATGGGTGCATAGAAGCCTATGCTTCGGGAATGGCCTTGCAGAGAGAAGCGAAGAAATTGCATGATGGTAGGTGTAGCGTCCAGCAGGCTCCTTCATGCTTATCGCATCGTCCTCCCCACAGTCCAATTTCTGCCATATGTTTGAGCTGGACCATCCAGGATTCCTGACGATTAGCCATCTTGGCTAGGGCTAATGGGAGTTGGAGTCCCAAACATCAGGAAGACAGCAAGTTAGTAAAGAATGGATGTGGATGCAATGCAGATGAACTAAAAAAGCTCACTTTGTATACATTTAAACAAATGACAGTGTCAGAATAACTACTTAATTCTGTATTCCTAAGCGCGAAAAGCGACAAGATTTTTAGAAACAAGCCATTCCAAATTAACTGTGTCTCCATCCAGACCAGAGCAGTGGAGTCTACTCAAAAGGCAAGTTTCTACATATGAGCGGGCTTCACATAAGCACAGTCACCAGCAGCTTGCAGCACTGGTCTAAGAATCATTCACGATTCATAACACAGAGCATGGTGAGCTGCACTGTACACAACTCCATGGGGGAGGCTGCTGCAAGCTGACTGCACATGGTGGCAGAGCAGGCAGGATGCATCTCGGACTGAAGTGCCCACAGCATTCACTGCGACCCTGCAGCACGATTGCAGGTGCGTCAAAGAGGTGTCGCTGGAGAGCTGAGGAAGTGTGCAAATGTGGAGGGTTAGAGAACTTTCTGTTCCACCCTTCCGAAAGACATACACAATTTTTAAAATAATTATGGAGATGCTTGTATGCATTTCTGGGGCCTGAAAGATAAAAAGGTGCTGAAGCAGTGATGGATCCCCCAAAGTACTGCTTGGGTATCAGGGGAGGGGGTGCCACTGGTGGCCATGTGAGGAGATCACAGGGTGGCAAGGGGTTTGCTGAACAGTGTGCTGTCCACTCCCTGCAGCCCACAGTGGCCATGGCCTCCCGAGTGTAGAGAAAACAACACACTGAACAACCCCTTGTGGAGTGAACAACCCCTGCAACAAGCCACGGGTTGTCCAGCTAGCTTGCTTCCCCTAAATAAGCCACCCCGCTGGATGCCATCTGGATTTGGATGACACAAGAGCCCACCCTCACTGCTTATCCATGATGAGTTGCCATGCCATGCTAACACAGTCACTATGGGCAGATTGTGTGTAAGAATATATTTACCTGGCATGACATTTTCAGCATCTCACAATGACATTTTGGCTGTAGCTAACTTAAGACCTTGCAGCATTTTTTGATATGTTGATAAATAACCGCAGTGGTACTTATTTACATAACAAATGGTCTCCCTGCTGGGTCTGGCTATCAAAAGGTGGCTGTTCTGCTATAGAAGGTAAATACTGCAGACAGGTAAGCACCTCACTACTAATGAGTTACCTGAATACTAGCCAGAATAGTAGGAAACTGCAGTTTCACCTGTAGCATGGCTACAGAACTTGTGGACAGAGCTTGCTTGCAGATACTGGCTGGGCCGATCCTGCTCTTGCCTGATGCATTCCCTAATCCCATGTTTTTTTAACTTATGCAAGAAGTAAATAGAATATCGCAACAGAAGAGTAATTTAAAAGCTTCATACCTGCAAACAGCTATAACAAGGTTGATCTTGTTCTGTCTGACTTTCACTGCTCACATTAATTTTTGCATGTAGAATTAAGGGCCGTCTTTCCACCGTCTGATTATGGTGGACAAATGTAACAACCAAGCAATCTATTTTCACTCCTTAATCATTATTTTGTTCTTATCCCTCTTTTCTGTCCATGCAGAGGATTCATTGTTATTTGGAGGGTTGTCTATAAAGAAGGAAGAGACAATAACCGCTGCACATCTCATTCAAGCAGCTAAGCTGGGAAATCCAAAAGCTGACAATATTGTTAGAACAGGTAAGTAGATGAGCATAACGAACAGATCTTGGTTAGAGACCTGACTAGTGATAAAGAGGTGATGTGATAACTTTGTCATTATTGATATAGTATCTGGAATAATGTTAACAAGAACATCTAGGCTCTTGCCCCAAGAAGTTCCCATTTCAAGTTTCAGTTGGACGCAACAAAGGAAGGGAAAGAATAGGCAAAACAAGAGAAGGCAGGATATATGAAGAAATGTGGCTGCAGATACCCTTAGTAATTTCCACCTATGGAAGGCACTTGTCAGCAGGATGGAGCAAGTTTCAGCCATTTCCCTTCCCCTTTGAGCCCCCCCCCCCATGTCCCCCCAAATCTGCTCTGGAGAACCCTGTGTCTGGGAACTTAAACGAGGGGTAGGTAACCTGGGGACCTCCAAATAGTCCTGCCTACAACTCCTTTTAGCTCAGGCCAGCATAGCAAAGTGTAGTGGGGGATAATGGGTGTTGTAGACCAGATCATCTGGAGTCCACAAGTTCCTTATTCCTGTCTTAGGAAGAAGATGAAGAAAAACCCATTGGAGTGGGAGGCTTCCTTACTGTAATGTAATTTAATAAAGTAAATCCCTATTTATCTTGAAACGAAAGAATAATTTTCCCACTCCTATTATTTGTGATAAGGAAGAATTTTGCAGATTGGTACTCCTTTCATATATAGACCCATTAAACTTTATTAGTTCCTAAGCATGTTTCTCTATCATGTTTTTATGATTAAAACTGGGTCAGCTCCTTCTAGGGAACTACTAAATATATAAAACATTCCCTGTAAAGATGGAATGATACCTAACAGGGATTGTTGTCTGTTGAATCATAGCTGCGTCATTTGTCACATAAGGCAAACATTTCTTACCATATTGATCAGACTCTTAAAGCTAAGGTGTTGGCTACTTTAGATGGTTGAAAACAGGGGTATCGTTACCCATAGCATGTGTGCTTATCCCACTGCTTCCCTTGTTAAACATGTTTTGCAACATTTTACAAACTCCGAAAAATCTGCTTGATTAGAAATGACAGCCCAAATAAAATTAGACACCCAAGACAACACTACTCATAGCTTTTCCCACATTTAGGAGTGCTGCTGATCAGCTGATCCCCATATTCTCTCTGACTCCTGTTTCTCATCTTCCTCACAGCTGGGACCGCTCTGGGCCTTGGAGTAGTGAACATCCTGCACACCATTAACCCTTCCCTCGTGATACTTTCTGGTGTCTTGGCCAGCCATTATGTCAGCACTGTCAAGGACGTGATCCGCCAGCGGGCCTTGTTCTCTGTGCAGGCGGTGGATGTGGTTGTCTCAGACTTGGTGGACCCTGCCTTGCTCGGAGCAGCCAGTATGGTTCTGGATTACACCACACGCAGGGTGTGCTAGACCCCCAGCAAAACAGCAGAACTAGATGACTGGGGTGTTTAGTGGCTCTTTTGAATAATATTTCTTACTGATATCAGCTTTCTTTTTTAATTAGGTAGCAGGTCCTTCAGAATTTTCTTGTCCCAAATAGTTTTTCCCTGTTTTTTTCAAAGTGCAATTTCCTCGTATGCAGGAAGATTACAAGATACTAGAACAGTGACAAACAGAAAGACTATCTCACAGACTTTTCACAAACTGAATGATTCTTGGGGAAGCCTGTATTTCAGACCTCTAAAAATAAAGCTGGGGGTGTTAACTTCCTTTCTTCCTTGTCATGGATTTTCTATCTGTGTTAACCGATACTCAGCCATTTCAATAGCCAGAAACTGACGGCCGTTCTTCAAGCAAAGAACCCTCAAAAATGTTCATGGCAGTTCCTGCCTCTGCAGAGACTAAAACAGGCAAGTGTGGTGTGATCTCTGCTTGATGAGGCGAGAGCAATAGAACAGTCTAATGCTGGGCTATCCACTGATGTGCAGTGACCATCCATGCAACTCTTCCTTAAATTAATATTTTAGAAAAACATCATTGGGAATCATCCCATGGTACAGAAGGCACTTACTTACATGTGTAACTTCCAAGAATTTCTACACCACAATGAAAAAAGTAGTAGCTTTGCCTTGGTCTCCTCCGGTGGTTGTGTTTTTTGTTTCTTTAGATCTGTGGAGGTTAAAGACACTGTCTGGTCTTTCTTTACTACTTGTGTACTGGATCTGAAGGTTGGTAAATAAGATTTCAAAGTTGATGGGGCAGCAGCTTTGCCAGCATTGCTACTTTGAAGCTGCCTAAGAACACGCCCGCAGAAATAAGGGGTGCTTCTTCGTACAGCGCTAGAGGTTTGCCAGTGTTGGACTGCTGCTGACAATACAGGTGGAAGGCAGTGCGTGGGCTGAAAATGCTCAGAAAACGTCAACAAAGACTGACTCTGGTGTGTTCTTCACTTCACATGCTTACAGTAGTAGGGACTGATGTCCTTGCAGCTTGCTGTAAACCAGTCTATGGCCCATTTGAGTCATTGGGACTTGCTGCTGAGAAAACACGTTTAGGAGTGTCAGGACTGGACTTTGTTCCTATATCAAAGGCATTTTTAAAAAATACAATCTGCATGAATATTAGAGGCCTAAGTACTATAGAGGTACTTAAAGAAGTGCCAACCAAAAGCTGTACAACAGATGATCGGGTTTTTAGAGTGCACTATCTAGTACACTTGACCATCAGATTTGAAGATCTGAAACACCAAATTTGGTGAATTAAATTTCATACTGACATTGAATATTTGCTCCCTCTTTATTTACGAGAAGATTGGGCACAAATTGGAAAATGACCAGCTTTTAGGTAAGAAAAAAATAAGGTGTGACTGATAGATTAATTTGAAATAGGAGTTCGTGTCTCTTTAGCAAGGAAGGATTCAGGAGATGACTTCAATGTGTCCAGTAGTCTTTTGTGAGTAGGTTTAAGTCTCATTGTGATTTTTAACGTATTGGAGTTGAAAAACAATATATTAAAAATTGCCATAGAGCCTGAAAAAAGAGTTGTGGTGAAGAATGAATGTGGAACATATTTTTGTTCTTTTTCAGTGCTGCTTTCCCAAGTCCAATTTGTATTTTCAGTACTTTCTGCTAAGATGTAATGCATCCACAGCCATAAATATGCTTGTAAGCAGCAGGAAGTAATTGCGTCTCCCCTCAATTCCCACTGCTTTGAAAGAGGGACAAAAGCACCGTAATGTGCATTCTAGACGGCTGAGCTTACACAGCAGCCCTTAACGCAGCATCCTTACCCTGGTGTTTTTCCATGGTATCGGACTGCAGTTCTCCTCATTCTCAGCCAGCACGGCCAATGCATTTACAAATGGCCATGCTGGCTGTGGTGGGTTGTAGTACGATGCTTCTGGAAAGCACTAGGTTAGTAAAGCCCAAGACATTACGTTCTTCCATCTCGCTGGGGCCTCCAAATGTTGTAGGGCGATTTTACAGACGAGACCAGAGACTGGTTGGAATTACCGAGAGATTTATTTACCTGCCGGCAGGGACCATGCACTCGTGAGAGTGTGATGCTGAGCAGATCGAAGGCAGGATTTTTATACTCTTTTACATGGACGGCTATGCAGGTGCTTGAATAACAGCGAACAATAGGGGAAATCCACTGAGCTACATTCGCACACATTTTTTTTTATGCTAAAGCAAGCAAGCAAGTGTACAGGGCGTGACGTTATGCTGGAGCGTAGCAACAAAGGCTGCTTTGTGGTCAGCCTTGCGTAGTGTGCACATTCGTTGGGGTTCTTGTTCTTACGCGAACAGGACACTCTGATCATGCTTCTTACCTGTGACGAGCCATGCCCTAGCTGCATGTTCGATTGTGAGGGGGGTTACAACAAGCTTTCCCCACCAGGCCAAACACAGTCCTCCCGAGGCTCCACAGCCATCTGCCTGGGACTGCAAAAACAGCAGGTGTCAAACTGTTCTCAGACCACTGACCTGGTTGGTGGGTTGTGCCCCAGCTGCAGGAGTGGATCACAAGCTCAGATGGCTCAGCCCCTCTGTATCCTGCAGTATCCATTGTCTTGGCAAGAGCTCTGCTAGACCATCTCAGAGCATCCATTATTTATCCTTTGATGTTGGGTTTTGGAGCCCAACAGAGCACTTTGTAAAAGACGGTAGTGGTTAAGCATCTTAGGTGGCAGTGCCTCTCCCAATGTTGACAGACATACTTGGCACACTCTTAGAAAAACAGGTGAAATCTCACATCTTATTTTGGACAATACAGGAAGAGGATAGAGGAAGGATTATTTTTCCCATCACCTACACAAGAAAGTGTGTAGGTTGTCAGCTATCCCTGAATCTGAAGGGAAGTGTGGCACTTTCAGCTTCTCATTCACTGGAGTGGATGGGAGAGTTTCAGGTGAAGATTGGGGTCAAGAAGTACACACTTCACTGTGGACAAGCCCAGCCTTAATCCTACCATTCTTTCTGGGAAACTCCTACAGCACAATCTGATCTCTCAGCATTGCCTTGAATATAAGAGGGTTTTTAGACTCTAAGCGCCAAGGTCTTCTGACCTCAGTAGTCGGGCTCCAAAGGTCAGGCCCCTGCCCATTTGTAGCCTGAGCGGAAAGAACGATGCTGGTACCACCCTCCAAGGTTGCAACTAGGTCTGGTGGGGACAGGGGGTGTGGTGGGGAGGGAAAGAGACCCATACAGCTGAGCTAAATCCAATTGGTGACCCACCCTCTTCCCCCCCTCCTCACTGGCCCAGTTGGAAAAAATCTGGATGAAAGGAAGGCCACCACCATCATACCTCCTGTTTTGCATTGGATGCTTGGAAGGCTCCAGATTCAGAGGCTTATGAGCATCTGCCACAAGAGTGATTGGATTGCATTGCCAAGCTATTAGGGGCTGCATCTCTCACATCTAAAAGATCATCTGAGAGGGCGATTAGGTTTAGAGAAAATGCTTTCCCACTCTTCCTAATTAATCCTTTCTGCGGGATTTTTTTTTTTAACTTTGAAGTGGTCAGAGACGTTAAAGTTTATAGCATCCTGCATTATTAGTGCAATGTGTATATGGAAAACTTATGCCTTGACATTTCTCCCTTAGTTTCGTTCTTCACCCTTCTAGGACACTGAATAAACTGCTTGAGTCTTGAACACAGCAGTTTTGTTTTCCTTCTCTTTCAACTGATGTTTCAGTGCCGTAAACAATTTCATGTTTTTTGAAGTTAGTGAGCATAATCAATTCTCTATTCGGCTGCTCTTTTTTTTTTTTTTTTTCTGTAGAAGTCCCAACAAATGTTTTTTGCATAGTCACATTTTACCCAAATATAACAAAACCGCCCATCCTGTCTGTGCATGGCTGTTTTTCTGCCAAGAAAATGTAATAAACAGCTGGATTTGCCATTAGGAGCCCTGGAGCAACTTGTAGTTTTCGAGATTTGAAAGGCAGGCAAACAAGAACCTTTAGTTTTCTATCAACTGAATGCTTGATCTAGGCTTAACTAGAACCAGATATAATATCTGTTCACATCATTCAGGAATATGTAGCCAAAATTTCTGAAGCAAGTCATTGTCACCCCAGTCCAAGAAGCATTACAGCAGGGGTCCTCAAACTTTTTCCAAAGGGGGCCAGTTGACAGGTGCCAGCGGTGGGTGCAGACCGCCAAGGTGGTGCCGGCAGGGGGAACGTGGGCTGGTATGGGGACGGGGTGGGCACACATGCGTGTGTGCACACGTGAGGCGAGGTGTGGGGCAAGGCTCCAGCTTGCTCTTGAGGAGATTGTTTCCTCCAATTGAGTCCAAAGCGACCTCCTCGTGAGCAAGCCGTGCGCCCATGAGCGCCCGCGTGCGCACCCAGTGAGTGCAAAACCTGTGGGGCAGGCCAGTTAAATGGACATGGCAGGCTGTATCCGGCCTGCAGGCCTTAGTTTGAGGACCCATGCATTGCAGTATAGATGGGTCACATGCCCACCTTTGCGTCTGCAGAGCCACACACAGCAAAGACGTGACTAGAGATGTCAAGGAGTGAAAGAGATGGTTCTCGCTCTTGCCTTGTCTCATCCAATAAAGAGAGGGATAGGCCTGCTTCAGTGCAAAAGCTACTTCCACACACACACACACACACACACACACTGTTGGTGCTGGAGCGGGATAAACTGATCACTTATGCATGCTTAGAAAGAAGGGTTACAATTCCCGGCATGGCTTGGAGTTGTAGGACTTTTCTTTCTCTCAGCATGCATAGGAGTGTCAAGCACACATCTGTTTGCGTCATACTGTGACTGAACGACCACTGAGTAGCAGAGACAGCTGTACGCACCACAGGACAATACCGCAGTTTCCTTTTAAATAGCTACAGCACAGGGATACTATTGATATTGCCATAACCTCAGTGACAAATTCCCATTTAAGACTGTTCTGAATTTTGGGCATCCCAAGTGTGAAAAACTTGTAAATCTTGACACAACGGTGCCCAAATGTTTCTTGCTCTGGCTTGCAGGTGCCAATGTGAACTTGCTGAAAATTCCTTTTTCTTCCAGAGTTAGAATCATTACATTAATGATTGCTTTTTGCCCACTTTATCTATTTCACGGTGCTTGAATCACACCAAGAGACTGCTCTTAAAAGACAAGAACCTTCTGCGTTGTTATAACTGGAAACCAAGCCTCCTCCTCCTCCTCATCATCATTATTACTGCTTTTAAATGTGAAAGTAGTGAAACTACTTATGATGTAGTTGTATGGCAATAAGTATGTAATAATCTGTGTTTTCTTGGATGGTGATAAGGCAATTCTTACTGCTGGATACAATATTGTGCATAAATGAACAGTTAAGATCAGAATGTAAACTCAATTGGTTGACGATTACCGAATCAGTTGCCATCTTAAACTGTCTCCCTTGCTATAGTAAAGACTGCGAAGGAAAACATTTGCTTTCCTCACTGTGGTGTCTCGTTTGCATCATTAATTTGGAACAATTACACTGTTTGACCTGATACTGAAAGTGACAGCCATTCACAGCTTCTGTGGAAATGTGGAAGATTTAAACAACTATCACCATGGCACTTAATTCACATAAGTCTCCAAACTCAGAAGCGTGCATGTACCCTCTGGGCCAAATGAGGTATGGAGCCATTTCCATCACTGCTCTGCCTTACACCCTGATTTTTAGCTACATGGTTATTTTCAGCCATCTAGATAAAGCTCCGGGGAAGGGGAGAGAAAGAGGCTAGAACACCAACATGAGCTGGCAGGAGTCCTTGGCCCCAGCTTCTTTCCCTTCACACCCTCTCCTCTCAACCAAGGCTCACTGTAACATTGGGGGAAGGAGTTGGCAGTTTGTCCATGCTGGCAGCATGGGGCTGGGGGTGGGGGGTGGAGGACAGGCGCTTGGCCTCTGGTGTCCCAGCTGAGAATCTAAATAATCACCCCCCCCATAACATGGCACTCTAAAACTTTTTAAAAGTATATATATCCTTATTTTCCACAATTACCTTGTTTCCAATATATCATTTTTAACTTGCTGTGTATCCTACCATCAAATACCTAGAAGTTATGGAGTGGAGCTGTTCCTTAGTGATAAATCTGGCAGGAGGTGCACAGAGCAAACAACCTCTTCTTCCAGGGGACAAGACTAAGGGACGAAGGGGAGCAAATTCAGAGTAGATCTTGGCTGAACATTTTAAAAAACCACCCACTGGTGGCACTGACAGCTTCTGGAGGCAGTGGGTTCTTAAGCAGAGGCTGGATACCCATCTGTCAGGGATGCTCTAACTGTATCTGCACTGAACAGAGTTGGATTAATTACAAAATTATAGAATGGGAAGGGACTTCAGAACAAACAGAGAATAACTTTAGCTGTACTGCTTCTCTCCAAATTACCAACAACAAAATTTGTGGGCCATGCAAGGTCTGCCACTAGTAAGAGTTTGGCTAAACACTTTGCATCAGGTGCATTTTAGAACCTTTGCCCTTGTGCTTTGGCAGGATTTAAGACATTTTAGTCAGCCATCTATCTTCACACATAGTCAGGCCTGTTTACCAATAATCTATTAGTTTAGCAATCTAATTTACACTGAAGCCCTAGATTCTGGCTAGAACTTTTTATGTTCTGTACAGCAGTTGTTAACATAGCTAATTGTAGTAGAAACATGTTCTGAACAGAGTTCATAGATCACCATAAGGCAATGCAGAAAGCTTCCTAGAAGTTGCAGGCAAGAGCCCTGCTGGAAAAGCATGCTTTTGTGTTTGGGAAGGATGAGAAATGCCATGGCATGAATGGCATGAGCATCACAGCGGGTCTCCCTTGGGGTATTTTTGTCTAGTCCTGCTAGAAAGAAGTAGCAAAGGAGGCTTAAAAATGGAAAAGTATAGGGATTTTTTCCGCCTAGGTGCTACTACGGTTCCATACAAGTGTCCACCTAATCATTGATAGACTGTCTAAGCAAGAAGTCTCCTTCAGAGAGTGGCAGATGCAAGGCTGTCTATGAACTTACCCTATGGGAGTCTTCAGTCATCTAACATTTTGGGAACAGTAGGGGCTCTCCTTGGAGCTGTTGTCCAATACAGCTACATTTGATCATGTCTTCGGGTAGCAAAAACACATTACTCAAGTTTCTTGAAATAAGCAAACCATTTGGGTACCACAATGGGCTTTACAACCACTTCTTGAATAGGTTCTGCCTATGTAGAAGTAAGAAGTAACTTCAGAAGTTCTGATGTTGCCATGAGGATGGGACAGGTTCCAACTCCAATTCCCAGAAGCTTTTGCCTCAGGATGGGAACTACCTGCTCAGCTTTCCTATTCACCACACACATTGAGACCAGAGAGAATATGAGAACAAACCACTTGTTTGCTCAGTGGGAATAGCAGAATAATCCTGCTCTGCTGCTGGAAATAGAGAACGGGGGCAGGAAACTCCTTCCTTTGGGGCACAAGAGGAAAATGTGCTATGGGATAACTTCCTGAGCAACAGCACTTGCTATCTAGCGAGAGCTGGGTTACCAGGGTCCTGCAGGGATGCTTCTTGGATAGCTGCCTTCAAATGTAGCTTCTGTGGTAGAAATAGTCCATTTTATTTAAAGTTTAAGAACCTTCAGGTTCTGGACCCAACAACCCTATTAATGAAGGAGCCTTAACTCTGCCCCTGCCCAACTACAGAAGGGTACTGATAAACCCATTTTTTTTTTCCCATGATCCCCCCTCTGCCACACCTCCCTGTCCTTATATATACCAACTGCGAGCAGCAATTAGACATCAACCACCACTCTTTAATCTAGCAGATGGAAATGAGGGGGTTATGATAGAACCCGAGTTATCTACCTTCAGACGTGGACATAAAGCTGCTACAGCAGAAGGCATAACTGAAGAGGCAATGGACAAGGAGGGCAATCTCACATGTGCCTGGGTGCCATAAAGAGTCTTCTTCATTTGCTGTGCATCATACATGACAGCTGTAGCTATACAAGCTTCTATTAGTCATCCAGGCCATGTGTCTGAATGTCTGTGTCTTTCCAAGGAGGACAAATATGCTTTGGCTTCTAAAATCCCCACACAAGAATGCTGTTTAAACAGACCTTTAATATCAGTACAATTGAAAGTGAAATCTCAATGCACGAGAGCACGGAGACGATGGAAGATTCCTCCCAGTTCGGACACCGGAAGGACACAGATGAGGGAAAAACATGCAATCACAAAACAATGATCAAACTAAATACACCATGAGGTTTGGTCCAAAAACAAAAACATTTAAACATAATTAATTCAATTACTGCAAACACAGTTTCTCTGAGTAAAGTTAAAGATATTGCATTTGTAGTGTTGGGTGTGTTCTCTCTTCAGCGAACCAGCGGAGACTGCTTGAGGGAAATCAGCACGGAGCGCATGCGGGACACGTCCTTTGCCTGCTTACTCGACTTGGGATTAAAGTCACAAAGCCGAGCCACACGTTCCCACTCTGTGCCTGGGGATGATTCATCAACATCATTCACAAAGGCTTCTTCAGCTGCCCTGGAAGCAACGCAATACCATGTTTAATGTCAGCTGTCTACATTTCCCATCCCTCATCCCCATGAGCTATCTGCTTCTCTTTCATTTCATGAGGGATCTGGGGGTGGAATCCAGAAGCGTTTTGAAGACTTCCCACACCCATAACTTCCTGATAAAGAACAAGCAGTAATCAGGCCAACATGAATAGAGAAGTGCTACAGAAAATGTTGGAATACAGGTGTTTGATTTAAGTGAGAAATGCAATTACAGCCTGTGTCATAGACAAAAAAAGCAAGGCGGTTTGGAGTTATTTCAGCACGCTTTCACAGCACCGCTGGTACCCTATGCAGACATAGAGAATTATGCATAATGATAGGAGCAGAATTGGGAATACCACAAAATCAAGTGTACAGATGCCATTGCTGGGATCAACAAGTGTGGGGCTCTTGGCAAACAGCCCCCCTGTGCAAACATGACGTCCAACACAAGAACTCCAGTGTGCTAGTGGGCATGGGTGATATCCCAATCAGTCCCGGCACATAACGCTCAAGTTCTGCATAGCGCATGAATGAGTTTGGCATAGCAGAAGCTCAACATCCAGGTGAAAAGATTAGGCTAGAGATGAGTATCCAAGTGCCATTTTAATTTTTCAAAACAACTTGCAAGGCTCACAAACCATTGTATAAAACTACATAAAAACATTTTCAGTGCTATGGGAAGCAGAGAAGTTAAGCAAAACGTAACAAAAAAAGCAGTCCTCATGCTTATCAGTGCTATGGACTTGGTGGTACAGGCTGGAACAAGAGATATCCATGAAAGGCCAACTTCGATGATAACTTTGCCTGTTCATTTCATACACACAGTTCAGTTAGCATCTCTAAGAATCAATGTTACCCTTTCAACAGTTGTGTGCTGCTATCTTGCTTTAACACAGAAGCATTTTTGGTGGCTAATGAAAGCAAAAGGTCCTGGAACCCACACATGGGCAGAAGCTGTGAGTGACCCTAATTATGGGAAGGGCATGGGCAGGACTTCAAACTACCACAATCAGTACCAGGGGGGAAAAAAGGCAATGAGGATGAACCCATGGAGATCAGCACAGATCACAAGGATGATTGTGTTTCAAACATCACTGATGACAAGGGGTCACTACAACACTGCTATTTCATGTGACAAGACACTTAAGGGGCACTGAAGAGTTTACTTAACTGTTCTAGGCTGTAGCAAGGATGGTTTATGTTTGTGCTTAAAGGTGAAGAGAAACAAAAAAGGAAAGTTTAAGTCAGATATAGTAAATGAAAATGAGCATAATGCAGATGATAAGTAAAGCTGGCCAGACATGCACTTCCCAGCCCTTTCTACATTCAGGAGACATGCTGTCAGTCAGGTTCTGCATCAATTGCACTGCAGGTTCCCCGCTTCCTCCTCCACCCCACCCCCCCAGCTCCAAGAAAGAAGTCTGGATCGAACTCCAATTGCAAAAGGCAAACACCACCTGTAAGTCCAGCATTTCACAAATCTGGGATTATTCTAGGTCATTTGTCAGTCTTATTCCCATAGGACCACCTTTAATACTAGACTCGGAACAAACACATGCATGCAAGAACCATCTGCTGCTTCTTGTGCAGCCAGGCATATTCCTGGTAACACAGCAAGACTATGAAAAAGGAAGTACCTAATGACAGAGGTACAGGGTTCAAACAAAGTCCCAAAGTTGCATTGCCTCCTCCCAGCTGATGGCCATTTGAGTGGTGTCACTGAGATGGAGACAAGGCAACTTCCTCACCTTCTTATATTGCAACCCAAGTAATGGCTTCCTATTCCCTTTTGAAAGCAAGACCTGCAAACTGCTTTCACTTCTCTCACTTGGTGACAATTTTAGAAGTCCCACACCTTCATCAAAGCTTTGATAAAGAGTTGGTTGGAAATCCAAGAGCTACATCAACTACTTCAGGGCCAGATGTGGCTGACAAGCATCTATCCCCGAGCTTCAGCAAAATTCCTATTTTTATTGCATGCCTTCCCCTGTTACAAATGAGACCTGAACTCCCCTGTACCTCCATATCCTGGAAACCTGAGAATGCTTTCTTGCCATGTGCTTTTGTGCAGAACATGCCTCTCTGCCTACAGTGGTTTGTCGGGATATTTTAACCACAATGGGCATCACAGATTAGAAGTGTTAATTGAAACGGATGGACAATGGACCAGAGAAATAAGCAGGTAGTTAGGTAACATACACATAACCAATCACGTCAGAGAAGGGTTGTTTGTAGAAAGCTTCATCTGCCACCCTAGGTGACAAGCGGTCCACAGAAGAGGCAAGCAGGCAAGAGAGAGAGAGAGAGAGAAAGGAGAATAAGCAGAAGGAAATACAGGTGAACTAACATTAGGCTTAATGTGTTAAACATGCAACAGATTAGTCTGACCCTAGAAACATTGCAAAGTCCCAGACGCAGACAGCTGCATTTTTAAGGAATGCTTTGGCCCAGTGCTGATATAATGCTAGCTCCTTGCACACTGTAACTTGCTAAATGGAAGCCAGTCTCATGGAAACAAGGTCGGCATCCCTTCCAGGCCTTGGCAGCAGTTTCACACTGCATGCTGCAGATTTATACCAGAAATATCCTGGTACACCCAACTGCAAGAAGTTTGCAAGCCAGGATTAACCAGGATCCTGGCTCCAATTAGCTGTGACTTGTGGCAGTTAATGATGAAAAGAGGCTGGCTGTGGCAGTGGGGGGGGGGGAGATTAGATTAAATCAGATCAGATCAGATCAGGGCAGGGCAGAATTGGCATAGAGCATGAGAATGCAGAAGCTGGCTCCCAATTTGCAAGCGCTCACTGGAAGGAGTTCAGCTCTTGTCTACCAAACTTGAATGGCACATGAGCAGTTAAAGAAAAATGAGGCCATTCTGTGCTCTTAGCATATTTCATTTTTTCCATAGTTCATGTTTAGCACATGCTTCACAGAATAGCAAAGTTGGAAGAGGCCTGTAAGGCACAGAGTCTGATCTCCTGCTTAATGCAGGAGTCCAGGTTTGAGCAGCCCTGGCAGATGTCTATCTAGGTGCCTCCTGAGTGCCTCCAGTATGGGAGAGCCCACCACCTCTCTGGGTCATTGGTTCCAATGCCATACTGCTCTCACACATCCTGTAACTTGAGCATGTTATTCCATGTCCTGCATTCTGGCATAACTGAGAAGAGATCATGGCCCTCCTCGCTGCACCAGCCTTCCCAGTATTTGAGAAATGCTATCATATCTCCAGGCTAAACATGCCCCGCTCCTTTGATCTCTCTTTGTAGGGCTCTGCTTCCAGTCATCTTTGTTGCGTCCTCTGAACTATTGCCATGTTGTCTGCATCTTTCTTGAAGTGTGGTGCCCACACTGGGCACAATACTCCCGATAGGACCTAACTAGTGTTGAACAGAGGAGAACCAATCCCCCACATGACTTGGAAGCTATACTTCTATTAATGCAGACCCAAAACAGCATATCAGTGGCAAAACTGAACTAAGAGGGCAATCTGGAAAGCACACCATCTGCCATCATTTGAAGGAAGAAAAATCCATTCATTTTTGTGTCGGCTGTGACACTACACTCTATAGGATTTCTGGATTGCCAAATATAAAATGAATATCTGACATGATGGCATTGGGAGATTAAGACCCTTATAAGGTTTGTGAAGAGGGAGAAAGAACGAGGCTCAGAACTTGCATTACCATTGACACCCATCTCCCACTAATGAGGGACAGCAGTGAGTAAGATGCTGAGGAGGAGGGCGGCCTGAATGCAAATCCCTGCTTGGTCACAAAGCTCATGGACGAGTTGCTCTCTCTCTCAAGACTAAGCTCCCTCATAGAGCTGTTGAAAGGATATCCTGAAACTCCTTTGAGGACATAGCTCAGTGTTCTCCTTTGGCAGCCCACAGCTTTCCACAGGAAAAGGAGCTGAAGCAAGTAGGCCAATACAGACCTTGCTCTTTCCCCCTGCCGCTTTGGATCGCCCTCATCTTGTGCAAGGACTGCAAAGCCACTTCTGCTCCAGACCCACCTTCCAATATCTAAAGCACCTCAACAGAACGGCTTAAGTAGAAGGAAAGAATGAACAGACAAGCCAGGATGCTAATACAAAGCAACCAGCATCCACTACACAATGTCAAGTACATCTAAGGCTAATCAAATCCATGGAGTTAAACATTTCGCTATGAAATGCACTGTCGCCATTTCATGGAGAGTCTTATAAGCAGGTATTTATTAGGTTTCTAATTTTCACCTTGAGCAACAAAAAGCTTGGGACAGGTAATGCTTAAGCACAATGCTTTTAGTGTGGTAAGGAAGAGGGTGGAATGTTCTACTTCAGTCTAAGCAGTTCCATCAACATTCCAAGATGTAAGCAATCTAGGAATGGATTTTGACTGGATTTTGCTACCATCACCGTAAATTAGCATCGCTCCAAGCACTTGGTTTAAGTGGGAAAAAGCACACAATACTAAATACTCTTCCGCTGGCAACAAGCACTGTCACGCAGTGCTGCTACCATGAGATTCTTTGAGCCTAATGAGCACAAATGCTACAGCACCCTGTTTAAGCATGCCCAAGGATTTGACCAGATGTGTTGGGTTTTGTGGCCCATTCCCCTGCTTGACTCTCATGAACAGACCTCTCCCACCTGTGCAAAAAAGAAAAAAATAGGTCACCTACACCTACTTGAAAAACAAGTTCTTAGTTTCCAGCTGCTGTGGGAGTCTGTTTTGGCTGAAAAATAGGACATTTTTTCAATAAAATGGGCTTGCTATGCAACTTTGGAGGCTGTTTTAGGATGGGGTCCTCAGCTTTTTGATGTTAGTCAGCATATCGGGAAGGTCAAGCGGGTTCTGCACTCTCATAGAAAATAGCTGCCATTGCAGGTTGGTTTGGCCATTCACAAAATGGCTAGCATGATGGGCGTGACCAGTCACAAAACACTCATTTTTCAGAAGGAAATTGCCAGAAGTATAGTAAAACTAATGTGTGCTAAATGAACCTCAAAACAGAGGAGGGGTACAGCTCCAAAACACTTTGCCCAAGTTCAGGAGGGGCAGGAAACTGAGCAGGCACCAAGAAAGTTTTCCACACACTGCTCTCCAAAGACACCAGGCAATAAGTCCCAGTTTTAAGGCCTCTTTGGGCTTGTCACTCACCAGCAGGAAGCCTCATATATTCCAACTCCTCACATTACTCTCACTGCTTCCAAACTTTTCCTCCAACTGTTGCAAAAGCTGAGCATTCTTTTGGTATAAGCCAAGGAGGCAAGTAGCTGTGAGTTGCTCTCATGAAGAAAAGCACATTGCAACCCATCTGCCACTTGGGAACACAGGTATGTCTTTTGTCTTCCCCTTTATTATGAAGTAACATGCAAACTAATCCCGATTCTAACATTGTAGATAAATTCCAGAGACATTAGGCTGGTTCCACATAGCCAAGGCCTAAGCTTCAGGAGCAATCTGCAAGATTCCACCAAGAATTAGTTCCTTTATCATGCAGATCCACTGCTGACCTACTGCTGACTTCCTGCACAGCCAATCTTGGAAACACACCTCCTCCCTGCCATCCTCCCCTCTGCCAGTTCCATCCCACTCCAACCCCTTCCGCTCACTTCCCTTGCTGGTTTTATCCACAGGTTCGCCTCTGTACCAACATAAGCTAGAATTAGAACAAAGGTTATTCGTGGAGTATGATTAGCCTTTACCAGTGGGTTAAACCAAAGATAAAATTGGCAAGGAAATGCAAGTGAATCGAAGGAAGAAATTCACACACCAGAAAAGGGCATCCAGGATGGGAGTTCACAAAGGAGGGCTCCCAGTTTGCGAGTTGTAATTTACGGGAAAGCAGTATTATGACAGCACTGGGCCAGAGGGAAAGCCAAAAATAGAGCCACTGAGCTACAGCCTCCTTCCCCACAAGTGATGTTAAAACAAACCCAAATCACCTGTTCTTACCTATTGTTAGCTTTTGTTTTCTGTAGCTGTTCATCTTGCCTTGCATACCATTCTTCCAACTCTTTTATTGCCTTTTCTTTCCATTCTGCTTCTTGCTTTCGAGAGTTCGCATCTTCGAAAAAGGAACACAGACACACGAATGGGGCTTGCACTCAAAGATCTCTTGGGAGCTAAATATAGCTAAGATTCTGAACTCTTAGTAATCCAGGCTTTGGAAGAACTGGAGTGGCTGGAGGACAAACAATGGCCACTGAGAGCAGCCAGCTTCTTCCTGAAATTCTGCTGGCCGAAACAGTCTCCTTGGAGCAGCAAGGGATACATCCGGTAGTTTGACCCCCACAGTTCCACCTCAGTGATACAAGTTCATCAGTTCTTTCCCCATCCCCTGCAGTCTCCATATTACTCTTGGCACAAGTCAAACTGTGCTGGCCAACACCTACAGGCAAGTGGCAGCAGTTTTATGTATGCGTACTAGCCATGTAACTCAGCTTCCCAAAAACCTCAGATTTCATTCTTGCAATTTTAACAGAAACGCATAACCATTACAATTGTGAAAATATTCTTGACTGTATCAGCAATTCCTACTGAAAGCTAAAGTCAGGAGAACTGCTCACTATGATTTTGAGGAGCTGGGAATTCAGGGCAATGAATGCTCCTTTGCCACCCCCACCGAATAACTAAAGGAAAATTGTACAAAATGAGAAATACGCAAGCATTGGCATTATATGGGGTGAGAATCCAGAAACTGGATTCCAGGTACTGTAGGGAAGTACGAGGAATGCGTTGGCCTCCGCTCCCCAGACTTTGGTTGACTTTCTTGAGGCCATGAGCCCCTCTTGCTGCTTCCAGCATTTGCAGGCCTTGCCGACAACCAACAAGCCTTGTGCAACTGCTGCACAAGCAGCATCCCTCTTTTGTGGCACACACAGCAGCCTCTGCTTGTTCTGCATGTGATGGGGCATGTGGTGTGGAAGACAGCTGCTGGTTGCAGAGCCTTCATTCCGCAAATACTTGCGGACATCCTTTCAGCTTGGCTTGCTCTCCAAGTAGAAGAGGAAGTCTGTGAATGCCAGAGGGATAATCCTGCAGGTCTTCATTGCAACCCTACCCTCTTATGAGCTTTAAGCACAACACATAGCAAGCTGTACATCAGGACAGTACTGGATCACTCCCGCTTCCGTGAGACGACCGCACCCATGTAATATGGCTGCTGGAGCTGCACCAGTAGATAATGAAGTAGCTGCAGGATCAGACATGCTACTCACTGTCCTCCAAAGGCCAGCACCAGGTTCCCTGAGCCCAGCAGAAGGTGGCCCAAGCTCCTAAAAGTTCACTATTGAGGCACTCAAACTTGCACATGGAACAGGGAACGGAAAGCCCAGGGGGACCAAACCTGTCCCCAGGATCTTTCCCAGCTGAGCTATAGCATGGGTTCCAATCCAGGGAATGGTCAGGCAACTTGTGTGGGAGCTGCAAGTTGGTTCTTCAGCCTCCTTTTCCTCAATATGTCGTACAACAGAGGCTCTGCTAGACTTCTCTCCTTACATGCCTCAGCAATTGTCTCTTGTTCCAAAAGACTGCAAGCAAGGCACCACGCAGCCAAGGGAAACCCCAGCCCAAACTGCTCTTCATGCAGGCGCAGGAGCCAACAACAGCCTTTGCCTTGCAACTGTCAGGTAAAGGGATAGCTCCAAAGCCTCCCCAGGCTTTGTTCCATTCAAAATACTGCCCCTGTTAGCGATTGGGCTGATGATGCACAGTCCTGGCCCTTACCAAGTACTTCTAGGCGCTCCCGTTGCTCTTCTCTCCATTTGCGGATGCTCTCTGGCTCTGTCTGCAGACGATCAGCTTGTGAAATAGCAGCATAGCAGTCTGTGGGGCCATTGCTCTCCTGAAGCAGAAAAAAGATGCAGACATTTTTACCATCTGCTGTGGAAAAAAACACAGTTCCAAAGGGATACTACTTTTTATCGCTTGACATCTAAAAATAAGCAGGGATTACAGATTTGGTGGTTGTGCCATGACTGAACAAGATCCCAGCACACAAAAGTGTCAGTAAGATACCTGCTTCAAAGCAATCCAAACTTTCAATTAGAGGAGGAGGGCAAGTTTTGTGGATGGTCCTTTCAAACCATCTAAGAGTCAGGACTGTAAAAGAGAAAATCAACCTGAACCATTCCAAACACAGTTTGGATTCCCCCTTAAAAAGCCCAAAGCAAGTCTTTGACTGGGTGCAGATGTGCCAACTCAAAGGCTGTTACATCATGTGAACCCGGCAAGTGTAGGTTATACAAGGGTTAAACCCTCACACAACCTTAAACAAATGATGGGTTATTGTTATTGAACCCTCACTTAAGTCACACATGCCATGTTCACAGAATATGAAAATGCCCAAGCAGGGAGGGTATATTCAAAATACACCCTGCTCATATCCTGCAAAGTTACCATAGGTTGAACAATCCACAGTGGGCTGCCGGAACAAGTAGAGACCCCCAGTGGCAGCTTTCAAGATGCTTCTCCACTAAGAGATCTTAGACAGGGCCTCTGTAAAAATTAACACGTAGACAGAAACGAGTGGGGAGGAGCAAAACATCCAGATACATTGTCCAATTGGATTGTCAGCAGTTTTATTCCCCTCCTTACAAGCACAATAGTCCTTGAACAGCTGACTGCCCTAAGTACAATTCTCTGACATGTACAGAAAAACAAGGGGGCATTGAAAAGGACTGAGTAATTTAGCTATTGTGTAACTCAAACAAACTTTTAATTAGTATGATCACACCAACCATCTCTCCACTGGGTTTTTCATTGTTCTGCACAAAGAAAACAGAACTCCAAAAAGCACTGAGCTATGAAGTTTGTGTATAATAGAGCTCTAACTTACAAGCTTACAGTATACGGGTTTTGATAAAGTTCCTCCAAGTCAGAAAGTGGCCAATTCTGTAGCTATACAACAAGGGGCTCTCAGTCATCACTGAATACAACATGTAGTTACACTATTTTCTCTGCAAAATCACAAAGATGGGTAAGCCCACACAAGGCCCTCACAACAAAATCGGTAGCAAAGCAAAGTAGCAAAAGTTATCTCATACTTCTTAAACTCCATGGGGCAAAAAGGTACAATCCTGGTACAGAATCCCAACAGAATCACTGGCAATACTGAAATTGTGTAAATCATGGAAGCCACTCTGCCTCCATTCTCTAGCTCTATCATACTCCCCTATGGCGGTTTTCAAAACTGTCCAGTTTTGGAAATTACCTAATCATCCTGTCCATGGAAGATCCCACTTCAAAGAAACCTTGGGCGTGTTCTAGGAGGCACAAGGGGCCTGTTAGAACCCCTATCAACTAAAGTCATAATCTAGGACATTGCCAACACTCCTCAGCAGCTGGTGGGCAAATGCCCCTGAAAAGAAACTTGCCTGTATTAGTGAGTCACCCCAGGATTCACATGGAATAGAGTGGGGGTGGGGAATGAAGTCACAGGCACTCCTGGCATTTTGGACTGCAACTCCCATCACCGAGATGACTGTATAATTATTTGCACCAAGAGCAAAGTTCACTCATCACACGGTTTACAGCAGAGATGGGGTCCTGTGGGCCTACTATGATCTGCAGAGGTTCCCCATCTGATACCCAGAGCTTCCTTAGAGTTCCCTGGAGGAATCCCAACTTGATCAAAGGTCCAGGAGAACAGTGAGGATGCCTGAAGCCAGGGCTTTGGCTGGTACTGCGAGGAGAGGCAGCTCCCAGCTGGCCAAGTCTTCCTCTGTGTGCCTCTTGCCATTCCTGATAGACAAGCCAGTGTTAGAAGCATTCAGTATATAAGATTGTTTTTATGCAACAAGTCAAGTCAAAATTCCAATAATTCCTCCAGCTTTTTTTTTTTTTTTTAAGGATTGGAAAAAGAATCAGCTATTACAAAAGTTTCCCCGCAACTGTCATGGGATTTTGCCCTGTTGTCATAAAAAAAAAAAAATTAGGCTATCTTAAAGGAAAGCCCAGCACAATTCTGAACACTAGAAGTTTTATTTTCTGAGAAGTCTTACTTGGTCAAATTAGGGCCTCCTGAAAATTAGTTGCCAACTCAAGCATGCACACAGCAAACATCTTGGCTACATCACCTTTGGCCACCTTTGGACATGGGAAAACAGGACACGGTCAAGTCATCCAATGACTACAGTGCTTTTACTGTTGTGGTAGAGCTCATTTCACACATTTACCTGGTAGAGATCACCATTCGTCACTCCTTCAATCGAATCTGTAGAAAAAGAATTGAGTTGTGTTAGCCCTTCTTTTGGCAAGAAAGCATTTCTACAGAAAGCAGTAGAAGTCAGGAGTGTGCAAGAAGGGAACTGAAAGAAGATATAAGCAGGCTTTCCTGCAACAGGGTGCCTTCCACTTGTGCTGGACTGCAATTCCTATGATTCTCAGCCAACACAGAATCATAGCAGCTGCAGGCCAGAACATTTGGAAGGCACAAAGTCGGGCTGCTGTAAGGGCAAAGAATGTGAGGAGGGAAGCCCTGTTTTCAAGGCTCAGCTTAATCTGAAGTATGCTTGAAGATCTTGGGCAAGGTGCTATTTTTCAACCATTATCTCCATCTTCAATTCCTATATTTGTTAGATTTTTAGCCCACTTTTTTTCAATAAACTCAAAGCGACTTACATAATTCTCCTCCTGTTCTCAATCTTATCCCCACAACAACTCCATGAGGTAGGTTGGCTGAAAATCTGAGACTGGCCCAAAGTCACTATAACCAAAGTACTACAGTGATTATGAGTACTTTGGTTATCTTACAGTTTAATATAAGCTGTTAAGATCAGCACAAAAATGGTTTTGACATGCTTAGAATGCTTTAGTGCTGAACTGAACCAAAACAATTCTCTTCTCACAGACCACTTCTCATCGACTGTATAGTAATCTCAACAATAAAGACCTCGTGGTTTATTGCAGGCTATGGGAATACAGCAATAATGGGAAAATCATTTTAGATTAAGAATGAATGAAAATCAGGTAGTTACATTCCAGGAAAAAGTGGCATTCTTTTGGAAAGATCACTAGCACACACAGGACAGAAATACAAACACAGATCATGATAAAGATCTTCCAGTTAAACAATCCATTTTCTATCCTATTTGCATGCATTATTTTGCAACTTTAAAAGTATTAAAATGTAAAACTGAAAAGCTACCAAAATGATATTAACCAAGCTCAAGAGATTATCTTCTCTGTATTGCCTCAGACACATGATCACGGGAAACAGAAACATCCATATAAGACTAGGAATTGAAAGGCATTACTAAAAAAAAACAAAAACCCAGTAGTAATATAATGCCTCAAATCATACATATTTCAAAGACATAGTCTGAAATGTCTAAATTATGTAGTATTAGCAGTCCAAGTACCAGTTGCTGGTCATGTTTCTAAGATGGTATGCAATCAGACATAAGAAGCGGTCTCCAAAGTAGTATTACTTCTGAGGAAAAGATCCATTAAATATAGATTTATTCTTAAGGCCTATTTCCATCTGTTAAGGGTAAACTGAAGCCAGCAGGAGTCAGAACAGCCAGAAGGAACAAACAGTTGCTACTGGTAGTCACGTTGTGTTTCAAAATGCCACCATCCAGGCCACCTAGTCTTCGTCTTATGGGCACCATCAGGGTCAAAGTCAGGCCTGGACAAACGGTGGCCACGCAAGCCGAATACCATCCAGCAGCTATAAAAGAAGCTCCTGGGATGCTTTCATGAGCATCCTGGTTTTGCTCCCTGGAACTACAAAGATAAGCATTTGTAGTCTGCCAGCTCACTCTACTGTATATGGGGGGAATGGGAAACATAGGTCCCATATTCTGCAGGCTTCGCCAACATTCAGCACGTGTTAACCCCAAATGCAATGCATGCTTATGCGATACTGATGGGTGGATGTGAGGTGGCAAAAAATGAAACTTCAAGCTCAAAGGGAAGGACAGAATAATTTCATCTGCCATTCTCTTCTCTTACACAGATTGGCAAGAAAGAGCTGCCAAGCAACACACCACTATTTTCAGTGTCAACAAGGGCCAACATGAAAGCACATGTATCACTTGGCTCTAGATCCAGAAATCTCATCTGTCACTTAAAAATGTTTCTGGCTTCAACAAATCAAGACTGGAAATCCAACGACCAACAAGTCAAAGTACTGGAAAAGAGATAAGCAAGAAGTACAAGCCAATTGGCCTGCTGCAGAAACATCTTGGCTTATTAAACCAACATGTTCAGGAGCACTGTGCATGCAACACCCCCTTCCCAATGAGTAGGCTGCAAATGAAGGCTGCCTGGGTTAATTATCATTCCATTGCATCTGAATGGCTACCAGGATCAGAATAAGCTGGATTCCAAAAACAACTTCAGACATCATTTCACGTTTTGGTGACCACAGAATTCCAATCCTAGTGTAACAAATCTAATTAACAAAACAAATAGCCTATGGTTAATTAACCCAGGAAGCTTTTAACTGCAACATGCTATGATGTGGGAATGTAAGGTAAATGTACATTTTGGTTTACTGTGTTTTGTCCAAACAAAGCCACTATCTCCAGATCCCTACCATACCAAATGCTTGAGGAATAGCTTAGGTTGGTCTATATGTAAAAATCAGACTAAGGGCAATATTTTCTCATTTCCATACCAGTGAAAATTGTTAAAGGCAATTAGCTAAAGCATGATGATCTATGACTAGCCAATTCACACTGGGCAATATCCAAAGCAATACTACTGCTAACAAAAATTATGTTAAGCTAGTGGGAACCAGCTACGGCAATTCCAACAGTGCTCTCCAGCAGGCCAAGTTCCCCAAGGATACCCATCATCCAGCAAGTACTATTGGCATTGCACCAGAAATAATTCACAGTAACACTGCATCATCCATTCTAGCAGTAGTCTCACACTGGATTCTGCTCAATATTTCTGACATAGCTAGCCCTAAGTACTAAAAAAGAAAACATTAGAAGACCCACTGGCTCTTTGGAAATGTTTGGGCACATTCACCATGTATATAAAGATTTTTTTTAATTTTAATCAAAAATAATCACATGGGGTCTGAAACAAAGGAGACTGGAATACCCCACTCCAAACTTTTTGGCTCTGAGCCATCCATTAAGATAGCCAAAAAGTTCTAGTTGAGTTTGACTGCACTGGGAAAGATAAGCCTAAAATACAGTTATATAAAACTGATACTGACTGGATGTGCAACTGGCAGGATTTGCATTCTAGGAAGCAGCAGTTATCAAGTAAGGAAGGCCAGAATTTATGACACAAGAGTGCTTATGCTCAAATATGACAGCTCCCCTCCAATCTAGCTGTTCCAACTTGAACTGTTTCAAAAGACCAAAAAAAAAAAAAAAAGCGTTTCCCCCCCATGTCAAAGGCAGTGTACAAAGACTAAAGCTTTACCATTTAATGTACTCTGCTTGGTTTGCTCTAGTAGTTTGGAAAAAGCAGATAAGCTTAGCCAACTTTGCATTTAGTAAGCTACATAACCCTATGTGGACCGTATTATGTTACCTTGGGTGTAATGTTACTTCCAATGCCAGCAAAACTAGCAGCCTAGTTCCAATGAATCTCCATATTACTCTTACCATTCTGAATAATGCAGCTAAACTACCAAGACTGAGTAATCAGCACACTTTCAGGACACTCCAGAGCATCTTTTCATAGTCTCCCACCCTTAAACCAGTCATTTTTACTATGCAATTTGACTCACACTGCACTTATTTCCATGATGCGACCACCAGAATACTGTATCTCACTGACACAAGCAACACATTTTAAGAACACCAAATTGAATAAGATAGTTTAGAGGGCTAGAGTTATAAAAAGTAAATCCACAAATCCCCAGCTGCTCTCCCTACTTAAGTACTTAAAATTAACAAGGGTGCAAAAAAGCAGTTTGTTATGCATGCAGCTAGTTAACTGTGTTCTGCATCAAGAAATACACTGGATGGCTGTTCTTAAAGTAGCTGAAGCACAGTTCCAACAATTTTTGCCATCATATTTTGTTTACCTGAACATCAAAATTAAATAAGGGGCTAAGACCCTAAGCAAGAGATGGAGGGAGTCTTATTAAACTTGAGTTTCGGGCTATTCTTTTAGAACTCCCCTCCTTTTTTCACTTCAGCTTGGTCCTAGATCAAATTAAGCCAGAATTTTCCCTAAAAGCAAAAATGTCAAAACTGAGGCTGTCATATATAAGACACATCATGAGAAAGCAAGAGTCCCTAGAGAAGGCAATCATGTTAGGGAAAGTCAAAGGCAGATGAAAGGGAAGACCCAACATGTGATGGACTGAATCTGTGAAGGAAGCCACAGTCTTGAACTTGGAAGAGCTGAATAGAACTGCCACGAACAGGAACATTTTGGAGGGCTTTCAGACAACTTGATGGCACACGGCGGCAACAACATTTTGCACATTACCTTTTAGGGTGCAAGCCTATCAATTTTCCCTCTCTCTTCAGAAACCTCTGAAATTGGAGGCTTCCAAAATTTCTATGTCCTTCCATGCTGAAGCCAGTAGGGCAGGGAGAGTCGCAATGATCTTCATATCCCTATCCTCAGTCTTATGGCAAGTTCAGCTAGAATTTAGCTCATCTAGCAGGGACACTTTGGAAGGGGACAGGAGGCAGCTAAGGATCTCTCAGATCTTGAGTCCTGTGGTCCTCCTCCTCCCCACTCCCTGGAACATGCCCTTTCCTCTTTTTCTAAGGTTGTTTTCTGCCTTGAGAGGGTATACAATGCAGTTCTTTTGAAACCTGCTACACAGCATCAGATCTCCAACTTCACATTGCAGGAATCAATATCTCCAACCTCAGAAGGGTCTTTCCTGAGAAATCCAATCGTCCCTGGAATACTAATTTAGAGAGTGCAAATAAACTAACATTTCTTGAACAGGTGAAGCTTTACCACTTCATCTGATATACTGTCCTCAGAGTAGTTTATAATTGTAAAAACTCAAATAAAATAGATACATGAAAACCTATTCCAAATGTAAGTATTTTTAAAAAAGAATACCTACTACTCAATTTTATCCATTTTTTTTTACTTTTTTAAATATTTTTTTAGGAGTAAAAATGTTTACTCTAAAGCATGTTCCCCCAAGCTCAGTGAGACTCAGCTCTAAGTGTGCATGCACAGAATGCTAGTTGCTCAACTATACTCCATTCCCATTCATCAACTATAGTAAACTCATGAAACAGCATTTCTGGATTTTATGGCAAACCCATTTCTTAAGATTTGGTCAAACAATTCAAAATAGTAGATAAATCCAAGGGAAACATCATGTCAGCAAGTCTGTAGTGTATACTGGCACAAAATGCAGACATTAGCATAAAAATATTTTCTCAGCAAAGAGTAGCAAACTAATGTTTCGATACCACCATTTCCTGGTTTTAAATAAACTGCTGAGTGAAGGGATCATTTGGTCAAAAGGTAAAATATGCTAGTCAGCAGCAAGCTCTTAAGTTCTTACAGCAAATACACTGCTGAGATTGGATATTACCTTATTCAAACAGCATACAGTCCAACTTAGAAATCTAAAAACCAGGAACAGATGAAAAAGCACAAAGAGCATCCAGTCAGATGCACTGCTTGCTAAAAAAAAAAAAAAGGAACATCTTCACAATGGAAAGTGGCCTTAGGAAGGCTTGGGAGTTTCCCAAAGAAGGAAGCCCTTTTGTGCTGGCCTATACCAACTTAGGAAAGGTGGAATATGCAGAAGGCCATCCCAGGATGATATTAATAGACAGGATCATTTGGAAAGCAGCACCAATCCCTTAAAATATCCTGATCCTAGGCTATTTAGGGTTTTCAAGGTAACAGCCAAAACTTGGTTTAATTTATTTATATTATTAAACTTATATACCGCTGTACGAGTCCCACAGGACTCTAAGTGGTTTAATATATAATACTCTGTGAGTATATGTAAATTGTATATATGTGAGATATATAGTGTACACACGTGTGATATATAACACTGTGACCTTCAAAAAAGGAGTATAGCAGTGGCTTTTCTAAGGTGTACTTCAGGAAGCCACGTCTGTTCCTAGGAAACCTGCTGCAAGAACTCTAGCATGCTGCAGGAAATTTGTGGGGGCACCCTCAGTTCATGTATGGCAGAAGCCAGTCCTTTTGGGTCCTCACTACATAAAACAGGAACACAATTTAGAGCCAAAACTCTTGATAACTTGCTCTGTACTGGATGGGCAAGCACACTGCCATTACTGATCTCAGTGGAGCTCAGCATTCCTTTGATCAGAGTCTGACAGTCATATTTCATTCTGACCATGAAGTTGAGAATTGTACATTGTGAACAGACTTGGCTTTAGGATGACACCTTAAGTCCTGCTTTTCCCAATTTCTGCCTCCTGAGTGTACATCAGTCCAAGGGGGACTGATCACTTTCCTAAGATAACAAGCTACAAGATCGAGTTTCATAGTTTAAGCATCTAGAGTCTAGCATAGGTTACCTGAGATAACAACAGACAAGCTAGCCCATGCCTGGAAATGTAGTTTGTACTTCCAATTTGCAGCTGTGTATGCCAGCAAGAGATCTCTGTGGAAAACCTGAATCTGCCCAAAACATATATTAAAAAAAGGGGGTGGGGGCTTTTTAAAAGATAAACTATAACATTGTCTGGGATACTCTCGATGCTCTTCCATTTGTGTCTCACCTCTCTCAAGTCTGTCCCCAGTAAGTCATTCCTTTTGCGGGGGGGGGTCCCCTCAAGAGACCGCTAACTAAGAAATTAAATAAATAAGTGATAAATATCAGAGGATAAAATATGTGAGGAAGGCTGCAAGGTCAATGGCATTTCTCAGTAAAATTATCAATTTAAAAATACTCCAGGGTGGGGTGAGGGGGGGATCACAAAGGCATCCGGCCTTAAGATGTTTCAAGTGTCGCAGGAAATTTTTTTTCTTGTGGTCACATTACTGCACAAGTGGTCTGAAGGGGGTCACCGACCATAAAGTTGCCCCTTTTATCTCTGCCTTCTTCCATGATTGCTCTTGTTTGCAGAGGGCTTTTAAAATAAGGCTAAGGGCTACAGACAGCTCAAGGGTCACGGGCTATGCACCCATTGGAAAAGCATCAAAACACTTAGCATTGACACAACTAATTTCTCCTGAAACCAACTTAGGAGAAATTTGGAATTAGAGTCCATACAGGGATGGAGCTATCCATTTAAGGCAACTTCAGAAGGAAACCAAATGTGTTTCTTCCACATATCTGAAATATATTAAACCAACTCACTGGACCTTCACTGGCCCATCCAAACCTTTCCAGCGTTCTGAAACTCATCTATTGCTTTGATTTCAAGAACAATGGGCCCTCCTGAAAAAGCTAGTTCACACAACTAGCTTGCTACAGAGAGCTTCAGCTGTGAGGTGGCATAGAAATTAAATAAATAGTAAAAACATGGGTGAGTAGCACCAAGAGAGCACTATTTTCCTGACCTGCACATTTTACCACTTTGAGGGCTGAAAGATGACACAAAATGATTTTAGGAAATAAGATCAAATACATTTTGCAGACAAAATCTTTTGCAGCTCCTCTAAGATCACAGCTCCCTATTCAAAACATTGTACGCGTGTCTAACTGCACAGCACTTCGGCTATGACAAACCACACCAAACAGGACACTGAACGCAGCCGACAGGAAACCACAAGACAGTTGCGACATTGATCTAGAATTACTCTTTGACATGCAGTTGGCACAAAACAGAACTGAAGAGCTCAGACGCGCCGAACACCTGCGGAAATCGGGATGTGCAGCTTCGCAGAATCTAAGCTAGGGTGGGTGAGTGGGCGGATCGGGAGCGGAACTAGAAAGAGATGGACTTCCTTAAAGCCACTTTCGCGAGTCCGTGGCAGGGGCGGAGCTGGGGTGCTTCCCAACTCGCAGTCCAGGAGGACCCTCGAGCCCTGTAGTAAAGAGCAGCACCGCGAGAGTTCGAACCAGGACACCATCCCCACGACAGCCCGATCACACGTGTCAGTCCTCACGTGACAAGCATGCACGTGTGGCTCCACCCTCTAGCGGTCCCCCAGCAGCCCGCTTACCAGCGAGCAGTCCCTCCTGGCCTTGCATCCCCGTCGGCACCTCGCCGTTCTCGAGGATGCTGTAGCCCACGTCGTTCTCGATGCCCGCGATCTCGTTCTCCTGCTGGGCCAGGAAGGCGGCGGCCGGATCCTCCTCGCCGCCGCCCAGCGCCCCGTTTCCCGCCGCCGGCTGAGGGGCGCCGAAGAGATCGAACTCGGCCATGGACACGAAGGGGGGGGAAGGAGCCAAGAGAAACAACGGCCGCGAGGCACGAGAAGCAGAGCGCGCTGGAGACACACTCGGCCGTTTAACGGCTCAGCAGGAGCGCCAGCTACTACTTCCGGCCTCCTGGGGCTACTCAGTCACGCAGTCAGCACCCTCCGCTCCTCTTCCTCCTCCCGCTCCTTATCCGGAAAGCTCCTAGAGTGACGGCTCCAATCTGCCAATCGACTAAGAGGAAGGAGAAAACGTAGGCCAATCCGCGCGCCGAGAAGGCCGGGGAGGCCTGGAAAGCTTCACGTGACCGTCGATGCGACCAATCTGCACGCACTCCATCCCCGCTGCACTGGGTGATCCCCCGGTCGGTTGGCGGGGGCGTGGCCTGTCCGAGCCCTTCGCGGGGTCCTTCTGAGCGAGCGGGAGGCGTCGCCTTCGTGGCCGGCGGGGCTTGCTGCGCTGCCGAAAGAGCGAACCCCGCGAGCTCCCCGAACCGTGTTTCCCGGGGAGCTCGCCCGCCGAGGCTTGCGCCGAACGAGTCCAGTCACGGTGTCCCAGGACGTGTCCTGATGCCAGTCGCTTGCTTTCCGGTCGGTCCTAAAACTAGTCCTTGCTTGGGATCCTTTCGCACGGGATGGTTCCCTTCTGCAAAGGATCGCGCGACACATGCACAATAATGCACACTGAGGAAGTGCTCCTAAACACGAACAGGGCGATCTTACGCAGGTCTGTTTAGCAATCCCACTGAGTTGGTGAATTTTCTTCTAAGCCTTTGGCCGCACCTAAAATAGGTAAATCTCGTCGAATTATATGGGGACTGTTTCTCCCGTGAAGATTGCAAACTTCCTACAAAGTAAGACCTACTGAAATCAGCAGCAGGATGTTCAAACGATGGATTAAGCCATTCATGAGGCTTGTGATAAAGATCCCTGTACAATCTGATCCTATGCATGTTTCATTGTGTTCAATGGGTTATTGTCCCAGCTATGTAGGATTACACAATTTATAGCCTAACCCTGGGTATATATAATGAGACATAAATTACACGTTATTCAGTTACCTAACACCACTTTCCCTGTAGTTTCCGAAGACCACTGAAGGATAGTTTTTAATGTTTCTTGTAATGTGAAACTGCCTTTTCAGGTCGATTGGGGAAATTGTCAACTATTTTAGTGACACTTGTCCACTGCTTTTCATTTATAGCTATTTAATATGCAGAAGTGAATCATTTCCTGACACAGAAATAGGTATTGTGAAAGATTTCACCTGCTATATCACAGTATTGTAGGCTGCTGTTAAAAGCACAGGGACTGAGCAAGAAAGCGGGGAGGGGGGCTGCTCAGTTTCTGCAGATCATTGCTAGAACTGTATTGCCTTCAGAGATTTACCCAGAACTTGTCAGAATCCTGAACATCCGCTTAGCCATTTCTGGTGACAAGCTTTCCTGCTTTGCTTTTCCTCCTCTTTCTGCTGGGTCAGCTTTTTCTGCATTTCTCTGTAAATTATTGTGTAATCATGAGTAGAGCATTAGTTCCTTGCTCCAGCAGAGTGGTTATCATGACAGGCAGCTAGCTTGGCTGGAAGGTCACACTGAAAGGAAACTGAAGAGACACAGCACTTGACTTCATCCCTCCACAAGACCCATCAGAAAGATCCACTGTTTACACAGCTCTTTCACCGCTGAATTTCCAGTTGGAAATAAATGTCTTCATCTGTTTGCAAAACACAAGGGGTCAGTGAAAAACTGCAAGGCCCCTCTTCTGCCTGGCCTGCAAAAGCCACATACTCAAATTCATAGAGCAAGCTGACATGTGGTTATTCATCAGCTACCTTGAAGCCAGTCTGTTTCCAATGAAAAGAAAATGTGTTACAATAAGCTATTTTACTCTCCAGTTTGGCACGGCCAGGCAGAATCCCCTGGTCCTGTCCCTGTTTTATGCTGAGCCATTTCTCCATGGGCTCTGATAGATGCATGGAATTCTCCTTCCCAACCAGTCAACAGTTTTCAGGCAGGTCACTTGTTGGGTGGGAGAGACCCACACAAGTAGCTCTGGCCCCATATGCATACACCCAATGCAACTGTATAGCACCACAGGAATCTTTAATCTGGAATTGCCATCTTTCATTAACTGTTTATGGAGAATTCAGGCACCATTGCCTGCCTGTTGTTGCCCAGTGTTTTCTGTTAGCTTTCCTTCTTTTTTGAGATTCAGTGAGTGTTTAAGAAGAAACCTTAAAATGCAATTGTGACAACAGTTTTAGGGCCACTATGCCTTTCATAGTTATTTTTAAATTAATACAGGTCCTTGAAAGATGGAAGAGGAAAACTGTTTTAAGTGTTTCCATGCATCATTTATTTTCTTGTTTGGAAGACAAGCATTTATCACAAATCATTTTTTCAGTAGCTGTCCCCAAGTCTAGAACTTCTTGCCCTGCCTCTGAGGCCTTTCCACCAGCAAACAGAGTGATTTTTATTTAGATAGTCCTTTGGTGCATAAACTGGGGACAATTGCTTTTACTGGCAGGTTTTACTAGTTTTAAGTTTTACCTTTTTGTTTCATTTTTTTCTCATTTTATTGCATTTATATTGGTGTTAGCTGCTTTGAACTCTATTTAGTGGAGAGATGGAATATAAATATAACATTTCACAACTAAAATGAAAATAACAATAATGAGCCCCTAAGGAAGGCCTCTTTCTCCTGCCAAGTTTGTGAAGCAGGATCTAACAGGAACAGGAATACATTAAAGGGAGATGTAGCAAGGAGGAAGCTTATAACTAAAATTGCAGTGGACATTTGTTAAGTGCAACTAATGTTTAGTAAAAAAAAAACACACACACACACAGATACACACCTTAGTCACTGAAACACAGTGCTGGAAAATAGAGCTCTGTGTTAATTATGAACCATGTGGAACCACTGTTATTCCACTTCCAGCAGATTATTGAGAAGTAATGAATCAACAACACTAAAGGGCCCTAATATGCAATTAATCCACTTGATTTATACACAAACACCCCAACTTCTCTCCAAAAGTCTTTTTAATCTGTGTAAAGAAAGAAAGATGGTGCCAACAGTACTAAAACAGTTTTTTAAAAGGAATCCTAAATTCCCATCTCTGATCTAGTTACATATAGACAAGTAAAATGCCTAAGTTAACCATGGTTATTTAGTCTTGGGTGATCAATGGCATTGCCAGCCAGCTAGGACTTCTATCAGTCCAACTGTTCAAATGGTCTTGTGCACTAATCAGTATCGGGGTCTTAAAAAGTCAGACATGCCTAGGCTCTGCTTTTAATCTACTAGCTTCCATCTGGTTAGGCTTCTAACCAATCTTTTCATCCTGACTGTACCTTTGCCCCTTGGTCTGGCACATTCCTCCAAGCCACAGTGCTGCCTTCGCAGTCTCCAGGAAATTATATTTTTTGAAACCACAATTTAAATCTATTGATGAAGTTGTTTCTCACCCACTTACCCCCCCCCCACACACATACTTTGTTTACATCTGATAGAAGGCTACAGCTTAAGAACTTGCAATCCTAAATTCAGTGGTATATGCTCTTCAGTAAATGGGTTAAGGATTGCAATTAACATTGGATTTTGGATTTAGGTGCACTTCACATAACGGACCTGAATCAGATTAATCCAAAAATAATATTTTAACAAGTGCTGTAAACCTATTAGTAAGGCCTATCTTGGATTTTAACCATTTGCAGTGGCTAGCAATGTATATGCTTTAAATTTTACTACTATTATTAAGGAGTAGCTATTGAAGTTTTAAGAAACCCCACAGAAACCCCAGTTTCCTATTGTTCTGCTGAAGGGCATTTAAAGAATCAATTAAGAAAACCATCCCAACAATACATGTCTCAAGCTATATACAAGAAAAACACTTCAAGCCATAGGAGTGCATTGCCAGAAAGGTTTAAGAATTGAACAGGCAATTAACTTGTCTTCAACTTGCAATAAACCAGTCAAGAGGAGAGGCAAGGGCACCTCATCCCTTAAGCACTGGAGCCAGCTGTGAAGTGTGCTTCAAAGGAGCAGAGCTAATATTTCTAAGAGGTGAGAAGCTAAGGGGCTCTCAACCCTCAAGTAGGCCAGAAATAAGCGGTATACTACGCCACACAACAAGGAAAGCAAAGGGAGATTTGCTTAGGATTGTACCCCCCCCCCCGAGGCAGATTTAATTTCAAAACCCCAAGAAATGTGGGGGGGCAGGAGAGGACGTTCATGCATTATAAACAGTTTTAGCCAAGGAATGTCACAAGAAGCTCTGAAAGGTGAAGCTTTTCTGCATTGTCCCCAACTCTGCTATATCTAGGATGCCCACTGAAAGTATCAGCAACCAGGAGTAAATGTTGTATCTAGTGTGTGGTCTCCTATAACAACGATGGCGAACCTATGGCACCCGTACTACAGTGGGCATGCAGAGCCCTCTGTGGGCATGTGAGCCAAGTCACCCCAGCATCGCCCCAATAGCCATGCACATTTTTGGAAAGAGTAACAGTGCCAGGTGATGACATCACTCATTAGCTGCGTCTCACCACAAGAGGTGTCGTTGAACAGGTGGCCAGAGGCAGGCGCAACAGCCGTGGCAGGTGTGCCTGGAAAAGAACAGGCAGGCAGTGAGTGGGCATGCTGAGCACTGCTGGCGGCACCCTCCTCCTGCCTCCTCCTCCTCCCGGCCCGCAGCCGGGCTCCTGCACCAGTGGACACGGAGGGGGGGGAGCTGGGTGCAGGGAGTGAGCGATGGGGTTGTGACGGTGGAGCAGCAGCTGGAGTGAGGAGGAGGAGAGAGAGGGCGCCCGGGATTGGTATGGCGCTTCCTGGGGAGGGAGGCCAAAATGAGGAAAAGTGGAGGCGGGGACTGCTGCAAAGCGAGAGGAGTGGGTGCATGGTGGGGACCCCACTCCTCACCCGACCCCACTCGCCAAGGCTTGGCAGCACAGTGGCGGTGCCTCGAGGAAGATCCCAACGGAAGCGTGGAAGGGATCAGCAATAGCCTCTCCTCACCTTTAGTTTAGGTCTCTCTCCCACCGATTCTGCCCCTCTGGTAAATTTTCAAGCACCGCTGAAGCTCCTGCGGCGCAAGCAAGCCCAGCGTCCCCCAACTTGGGGGCGCTGAATGTGAACGTGGCTCCTTCTCTCTTTTCTTTTAAGACAAAAGATGTTAATGTATGAATTGTTTTTTTCTAAACTAAAACCTCAGTATTCAGGTTTTATTGCAGTGTTGGCACGTTGTGATAAATAAGTGGGTTCTGGGTTTCAGTTTTGGCACTCTGTCTCTAAAAGGTTTGCCATCACTGTCCTATAAGATCTGTTTTTGCAAGCCCCACCAGCTGCAGCTTGTTCCTCAGCCCCACGCCACGTGCATTGATTAACCCTTTCCCCCTGCACCATAGGACTGAGACCCATACCTTCCTCAAAAGCTTGTATTTGTTCTGGAAAGGGAAGTTGCTGTTGGCAAACAGCAGGAGCAAGTTGTCCCAAATCCTGGCCAGGACCTGCTGCGATGAGAGTGACCCCAGTCTCTCACAGTACGATCTCCTGCATTGTGTTCAGTGGGACTTATTCCCAGGCAAATCAGTATAGGATTGCTGCCTAAGTCTGTGGACCAGATACACCTGTTTTCTTTCCTCTGAGATGGGTGCACACCATCAGCCTTGAAATCCAAGTCTGGGCTTCCTAAGTCCCTCAGGAAACCTTTAGTCCCTTCCTGCCCTCGTGTTTTTTTCCCTGGCTGACAGTCCTTTAGTGATTTCTCGGTTTTTGCAGCCTCCTTACCCTCCCTGCTCCTTGATTCTAAAAAGTTGCAGTGCCTCTGTTATGTTTTAGTTACAGGAGGAAAATCTGCTGCTGATCTTTGCATTTTGGGCCCAGCCCTATTAGCCTTTAGCTCTACCCACCAACCCTTCCTCAGAGCTTCTTCTGGCCCTTGGGCTGACACATATTCAGTAGCTTTGCTCTTACGGGGCTGTAGAGGAAGATCATTGCAACATTTATTCTGATTACAAGGGTAGAACCCAAGGCAACCTATAACCCAAGATTGGGTAATTTCTGGCCCACTAAATATTTTGGTCTGCAATATCCTCGGTTCCCCACCATTGTCTCGGGCTGATGTCTCGGGCCGATGGGAATTGTAGGTCAGAACATTTGGAGGGCCTTAAGTTGCCCACTTGTTGCTTAACCCATGCCTAAGAAATGCACCCTTGGAAGACTGAATACACATTCAACATGGGGTCACATTCTAACAGTACATTAAAGAAGTCACCCTGTATTCCTTTCTAAAACCCTCTGCATTTCCAAGATCGGTAGGAAGAATGCCATGTTTCCTAAGGGGTATGGTAGGTAGGGAAGGAGGCAAGATCCTGACAGTGGTTATGTGTCCTAGTACTGCAGGACCATCTAAGCCCAACTGAATGTGAGCTGATGCATTTTTAGACCTGGCGGGCAGGCAGTGTAACCCCTACCCTAAGAATCAGCAGCAAGCTATCTAGGAGTTGTTGTGAACTTTGTCAGCTGCTCTTACGGCTGCAATTCCAAAGTCTCACTGCTTGGAAGAATGTTTCTTCCTGGTAGCTGCCAAAGAATGTGGTGCCATGCAATGCGGCAAGACTCTGATCTTTCTCATCAAGCACCAGCAGGACTTAATGGCTGGAGGGCTGAAGTAGGCTGTGGGCACAGAAGCCAGTGAGAAGCTGCAGTGGGGGTATGCTGACTCCCGTACTGCCCTCTGAGGAAGTTGGCCCCAGGTTCCCATGTGCCACAGCTTTCTCCAACCTGGTACCCTCGGGATGTATTGGACTTCAAATAATGATGTGGGTTTTCTAGAACATTCCAAACTGGAATTTTTTCCTATGTAAATTAGGAAAATTTGCATCAGAAATTTTCCAATGCGCTAGAATGTGATTCAATTTAGCATGTTTATTTTACTTATATTGAATAAAAAACAAAACTTTTAAAAACACCTTCATTTTTTTGTCCCATTACTCTGCAAGTATTTGCCCTGAAATATTTCAACAAAAAGATTAGAATTGGGGTGCAATCCTATGCATGTTTAGACTAGGAAAAAAGCCCTAAATTCACAGTAGCCCTTAGCCAACCACACTGGCTGGAAATACTAGAATTTGTAGGACTTCTTTTTGCCTAAACATGAATAGGGTTGACATTTTTGAAAATTAAATGCTATGCTCCCCTTACATCATTTAAGAAGCTCAAGGATATTGAAAACTTTTGATAGACAAAACAATTTTAGCAATCCAAATAAGTGTACATAATACACTGACAACCACCCATTTATTTCAGTAAAGCTCAACTTTCTTCCACTGATGTTGTGAGGGTGTCTTTCAGTTTAAGACATAGGACACAGGTGCATTCTCTCACACACTTGCCAGGAATAATCCCCTGAAAAACATCAAGAGGTTGAAAGTGCCAAGCTTGCCTAATAGTGTGTGTTTCATTGCTACTTATGAACTTAAAATACTGCCATGAAAACATTAGACTTTCCACCCTGCATCACTGACTTAACTCCTATCAACCCTGCAGCCCCAGCCAGTGAGGATTCTACTGGCTGGTAATGATGTTGGCTGATAATTCCAGAGGGCATGAGTTGGTGAACAGTGATCTGCCATTTTAAATACATGCTTAAGTATACCACGCTGAAAAGAAACCATTACACAATCTAACATTTTAATTATCAATATATTACATGATACACGGATGCCCATTTTATGCCCCTCACCCAAGGCAGATGGTCATAACATCCAACCCTAGATATGACTGAATCGAAGTACCTGATAGAGACAGGAAAGCAGCCTTATGTTTACCTGTGATCTGCAATTCAGTCATTCTTTATTGCTAGAAATTCTGTTTGTGCTTGTCTTCCCAAATTAATTGACTACAGTTTTTTGGAGAACTTTGCATGGCAACTTAGCTGTACAGCAAGCAGGACAATCCAGGGCTTCTGGAGGCTCTGCCAAAATCCTCCATTCCCCAGTGTTTTGATCTAGCATATATGCTTGCCGGTTGATGGAATATTCCTCTGGACGTGTGTCACCTGGACAGATGAGGCCACCACACACAAACACTTTGTTATTCCCGACAGAGCACACTGCATGGGACAGATCCAAGCTGTAGTTATTCGGTAAGAGAGGCACAAGTTTGGTGGTTTTGCTCATTTTAATCTTTTGCAGATTTATGTCCATGCTTTCTTTGTGGCTCTGTATGCTCAAGACATTCTCCTGGGGAAAGGACAGCAAGGGCTTGTGGTTGAACTGGATGGGAAATGTGATGTATTGCACCACATTTCGCGTCTGAGTGTCGAAGCAATCCAGCACCCCCACGCGGGAGAAGCGCCCATTCACCAGGCATCTCCCCGTCACAATGTAAATAGTCTTGTCTCCCTTGGTGATCAGCGCAGTGGCATCCATGGGAATGCTCATCTTCCCAGCAAGAACCCACTTCTCTTTCCCATCATCATACTTGTAGATACTTGAGATGTATTTTCTTGGGGCCGTGCTTCCTCCTACAGAGTATACTGCTCCCCCACAAGTCACCATGGTGTGGAAGACCAAACCGATGGGCAGGTCTGGAAGCTTGACCCAGGAGTTGGTATCCATATCATATTTCCAGGCTGTCTTCAACCCAGTGATCTGCTCTGTTGTTCCTCCTGACACATAAATGTATTTCCCTAATGATGTCGCACTAAGAGCTGCTGCTCTGTAAGGCATCTCTGTGAGCTTCAGCCAGATGTTCTCTCCAATGATGTACGCAAAAACCCCATTGTTGAACTTACCCTTCTCTTTTTGTCCTCCTAAAATCACCACAGAGTCTATCATGGCCCCTTTCCGCTGGTAAAGTGTCAGGCTTTGCATATTTCCCTGTTTGCGTTCACTCAGAACACCCTCTATCCGAGACAGGGGCCCAGAATGGTCTGGAAAGAGCAACACTTCCCGGCAGCCAGCAAGCAGCGTCTTGGTGGAGACAGCGGGCAAATGTATATGGGCAAAATACTTCTTAAAATACTTTTCCCTCTCACTCTTTTTGTATTTCGCCCACTGAATGAGAGTCAGGAATGTCTGGTCTTCGTTCTGTACGTGAAGATTTTCATCTTTAATGAGCCGGCTGAAAACATGAGGAGGGCAGTGCACAAATTCGGTGATGCCCTCAGGGCCCGCCCAGTAATGGAAGTTGTCTCGTATAACATCATAGGCAGCGTTGCCCACCTCCTTCAGGTCATATGTGTTGGCCAGGAGCATGTAATAGAGGCAGTTGTCCTTCTTGAGGGACCTGAGGAGAAAGTCAGAGCAGTGACTTTTCAGAGTCTGGGAACTGAAGTACTTGGCTCCCTTCAGCAGGTTCTCCACGTTCTTTTCTGAAATCACGACCTTCCCAGTGTAGAAGTAGTCAAGCAGCTCCTCCACCAGGGAAGGGCTCAGGAACTTGCTGTCAATGATCATAAAGAGCTCATCGTTGGCTTTCATGTCATTGCTGGAGATTAGATTCTTTATATGAGATGACATGGCTGCTAAGACATTGAGGTGGGCATAGAAGATATTCTGGTCCACACTGAGGGCCACATCACAAAACTCCTTGTTCTTTCTCTGTTTGTTGAGAGCCTGCATTATAAAACTGTTGTGGTTCTTCTCTGTAAATTGCATCCTCATTTTTGGAGCCAAGCTTGTCTGGAATGTAGGATGATGATTTAAGTATAGAGGTCTCTTGCCCACTTGTTGAAAACCCCACTAGATAAAGAGGAGTGATGTCATCAGTTATAGTTGCCAGGTCACAATTAGCTGTGACATCTGCTGGACACAGCATTTTCTGATTGCCCTTCTTGCCCTGAGAGAATATGAGTCTCGCACTTGCTCTACGTGATTCTAAAAGAAAGGTGCATCATGCAAGATTGCCTAGAGAGTATGTTTGTACAGAAATGCTGCCACAAAGAAAACTGCTAGGAACTGAAAAGACTGCAGGTAAAGCACCATGCTTTGGTGATGCTCATATAGAAATATATTCCGATTGAATTCCTTAGGGTCTACTCCATGTTCATAAGAAAAAAGCTGGATATAAATCTAATAACTGGACAAAGACAGAGGTCAGAAAGAGAAAGGGTCAATCCCCCTTACCATACACCATGTGGATAATGATCCCTCTCCACCCACAGCTGCTACTTATTTTAGTTAAAAAAAACACATCTTGAATGCATATATTAAGTGCACCAAACTTGAGGGTTAACTCATACACCATTTCAATGCTTTGGAAAGCAATCCATATCAGCTCAGGCCAGTTCAGAGATTGTCTGTTTAAACTCAGGTTTTGAGTTGATGCCAAGTTTTGGACATCTAAGCTTTCATTGGACCTGCCAGAAGTTTTTTTTTAAAGGTGCAGGTATTTTGCAATGCATGCATTTTTATCCTTCTGTTTATACGGTAATGGAAATAATTTTAAATGGGAATTTGGAGGATTACTTGCCCCATCTGAGAGTATCAAGTTTGCTGAGATGAATAGGCACAGGGGCAGCCTTGACATTTAGAGGATATTCCAGAGAAGGCTCCCCCCATGTTCCTTCTCAACCACTCCACTGAAAATGACATACAACCAAGATCTACCCCTTATAAGAAACCTGCAAAGTTTCAGAGTTAAGGTACGCTCATTAATATAGAAGGGGAGGCCTCACCCTTTGGGGAGCAAGTGATTTGCCTCCCCTTCCTTCCTGCCTTAGTTTTAGGGGTGAATTTTAATAAAAATGGCACACTTCATAAAGCTCTCCCCAGGCGGTTTCAAAAAGGACTGAGAGGCGAGGGAATTGTGGTATTGAAAATCAATTGAATGCAGTTTTTGCACAGAGAAGCCTGGTGGCTTTGGAAGAATGGCTGTCTGGCAGTGCCACCCTTACCCTCCCCTGGGCACAGTGATTGGAGCTCCTGCCGAAACACTCCCTGGGACTGGAGGTTGGCCTGGCCGTTCTCTCTGCCTCCTACATCAGTGTTTTGGAGAAATGAAAACAGAAGACACTGTTTGAGTAGGGGAGAGAACAGAGTGTCTGCACAAGCAATAACAAAGCCTCATTCTGATGGCTTTGGGGGGCGGCCTGCTCCCCCCTGAGAAGCACCCCAGTGGTCCAAAGGGGCTCCATACCATTTGGGCTTCAGGCTTCATTCAAAGCACATCCCAAGCACACGCTCATCTAATACAGGGACAGGAACTTGGTGGCCCTAGGCCTCTGTCTACTTTCAGAAACTCTCTGTAAGCGGGTAATTAGCAGCTCCTGGTAGGAAAAAAAATTGCCCCTCGCTTGGCAGCCTGCTGTGTGGAAGGACGAGGGAGAAGGCTGTGTCGAAGACAGCCAGAGATGAAATGGCGCCACCCACCACCTACACGGGTGCCTTAACAAATTCTCCCCCAAGGAATGTGGTGCTCAACAGGAACATTTCCTCCTTTGTACATGAATTTATCGTGTCGTTTATACCCGACTGCTCATTGTTATAAACAGTTATTAAATGTGTTAGATAAGCTTGCCAATGGCTGGTATCCCTTTGCTTAAAACATAGGTCACTTTGACCTCTGTTGACTATGTTGCTATGAGAAATTAAAACTGTAACAAATGCTTTTAAAATGTTACGCCTTTCTCTCTTTGTTTTATTCTTGAATATATGGAATATCTAGTTTTAATCATGTTGAGAATTCCCCTCCCCAAAGACTAAAATCTCTTCTCCACCTTGCCTCTTCCTACGGAAAACTGAAGTAGCCTAAGAATTCCTCACCCCTGTTGAATTTGCTGACTTCCCACCCAGCAAACTCAATTTGCTGGAGAAGCTAATCAAGAAGGATTATACAGTCATGTGCCTGCTGGTGTTATGGCTCTGGAATATGATCTTTTCAGAAATGGCAAATATTACACATCTAACTGTATTTGTCACACCAGCACTGACTATCAACAGTATGGGAAGAACACAAGGGAAGAGTGACATCTAAGGAATTAATCAGGTTCATGTTGATGGCAGCTCACAGGATAATAGCTGATAGCTGGAATACTGCAGACCTTTTCACACTGAAGCTCCTTTGCATACTGCTGTGGTGACTGCCCATGGCGTAAAAATTGGCATTAGAAAAGGGCAAAGTCAAAATACCTGATTTTATGCAACATGGCATGACTTTATTTCGTACAAACCAGGGAGATATATATGCATGTATGTGCATGTGCAAAAACATCTGTCAAAGTCTTCCCTAAGATTATGGAAAAGAGACTAAATATTTGCTGTTATGAAGAACCATAAAAAAATCTGCAGGGAACCACTTATATTTTCACTTGTAAAGGGAAGGTAGGAGTGTATGTTTGTGAGTGCACATGCTAAATGCACTGCTCTGTCATTAACCAGACATGACTTGATGTAATTTTCTTTTTTGCTCTGTTTATTCATTTGTATTTGTATAAATACAATTTTGGGGAGCAAAAAAGAAATGGAAGGTGACATTGCCCAGACTCCCCTTCAGTAAAATTATCTGAATAAGGCAGGATGAGGCCACAGAAAAGCGTACTTTGAAATCACGTTGTGTCTCACCACCAAGCCATCCTCTACTCCAGTGGTTACTATTCCAATAGACAACAGCCCCCTAAAGTCTCAGGCAGAAATCTTGTACTGTGGATATGCTGACTATTTCATCAGGGACTTTCTGCATGGTGTGCTCTGCTGATGAGGAGGCTCTGCTGATGAGGAGGACCTTCCTGAGGCTCCTGAAAAGCTCAGAGGCAACACGTTCATTTGGAACCCACTGCCTCCTTACCACTGCATCCCGCCTAGTGCCATTTATGTCATTGTTTCTCAGCTGGAGAGTATTGTTTATTAATATCTATTCATTCCTTAAATTCCTTGGACTGTAGCTCCCATCAGCCTTAACCAGCAATGCCAGTGGTGAAGCATGCTGGAAGATGGAGTTCCACAATGTCTGGAGTGCCTAATATTTGCACCATTCATAATGTTATAAACCTCTATCATGCCCGCTCCTCTAGTTTTCTTTTGCTAAAGAAACAAGCTTCCAGAACAGAAGGTGCTCTAAGTTGTTGATTAATGGGCAGGTGTCTGCAAGGCCATAGGATTTTTTTCCTGGAGTTCCAGCTTCAACCTCAAAGCTGGGGCTCCTGTGCTTGGAGAGACCTGCCAATCCCCCTCACAGCTGACATAGGAATAACCATGCTGGCTGGTTTTCTGAGGTCATAAGCAGCTTCAGTGGTAGGAAGAAGAGAGGAGGAGACCAAGAGCCACCAGGATGGAATGTCTCCTGGTGGTGCCTGAGCTTCCTTCCATTCCTCTGCAAAGCAGCACCGTTAGACGGCCATGTTCAGCCATCTAGAGCTTTGCAGGGCAGGAATGCCAAGATTACCTTTGCCTCTACACTTATTCCACTCTGCCGTCCTCTGCTGTGGGCATCCCTTCTGCATTGTGCTCTTAGTTACTTTTCTCCTATGTGGAAAATTATGCGCAGTCAATCCAATGCACAATTACTCAGCAAGTAGTGCAAGACCTCCGAATGACAATGGGGTTCGGTCCCTGTAAAGCAGTTCTGCCCAGCCTGGTACCATACAGATATTTAGGCTTCTGATCATCAGCTCCGGCCAGTGTGGTCAGTGGCCAGGAATGGTGGAAGTCAATAACCTAGGGAGATCCTTCATACCAAATCAGCCCAGTATTGTTTACACTGAGCAGCCCTGGCTCCACAAGGTATCCAGCAGGAGATGCTGGGGAATGAACCTAAGACCTGCATTGCAGCTCACTCCACGGCATTGGGTAAATCTGCAGTCCACTGCCTATGGGACTGCAGCCATAGCAGCCTCTCTTTTCCGAAGTGATGCCTTGGTTCTCTGTGGCAGGCTGAGTTTCAGCTTCCTGAATTCCCACAGGCGCAACTCGAATGCCGTGGGAGAAGGGTAACTGCTCGTGTGGCTGAGTCACCCTCCAGATGTTCTCATTTTCTGATCACTGTAATGCAGTACAAAAGGGTGATTATTAAGAGTGTCAGTTGATATTTGTGTGGAAAGGACAGAAGAGCAACTAGTCTATATCAGAACTATTCTTTCCTGGAATAAAGGTCTCATCTCCCATGCCTGTCAAGCTGCCAAGTGACCAGAAACAAATGGCCGGGCCAGCACCTGTGCATTTAAGAACTGCTTGCTCTACCAAGGCTAGCAGCTGAAGCCTCTTACAGCGCTGACACCAACCTCAGCCATCAGAATTGTTCTGAGGCTGGCACACGAGGATTTTTAATGGTAATTTATTATGTGCTATTGTATTTCATTGTATTTTATCGTGTTGTAAGCTGCCCCGAGGTTTCGGCAAGGGGCGGCATAGAAATGTTATAATAACAACAACAACAACAACAACAACAACAACAACAACAACAACAACAATAATAATAATAATAATAATAAAAGTGGGCATGCCAGCTCTGCCCCTCTTCACCTCTGCTCTTGCCTTCAGGAGGAACTGAGGTGGCAGGGCTTTTCTTTTCCTCTGCTCCTCACTCCCGTGGAGGCTCTCCACATATTGTACAACCCTGATTTTTCTTGGAGAGCTGCCACCTGTGGGAGAGGATCCCTGCCCCAGAGTTTGGCCTGAATACAAAGCTGCAGCACTCGCTCATTCGTGCTCTCCCTCCCTCACCGGTGTAAATCAGGGTGTATCCAGACAAGGCTTTTTCCATGCAGCGCCCCCCGCCCCGG